TTGATGCTTCGCTGCTGGAAGCAAGAGCCAGACAAGAGGCCCACCTTCTCAGAGATCAGCAAAGAGCTGGAGAAGATGATGGTGAAAAGCAGAGTAAGAATGAAGAGAAATGTCCTTCTGGCACAAAATGATTAATGCACTGTGCACAAGCATGACACACACATACACACATGCACATACAAAGCAAAGCACACCTGGGCCTCAGTCATCTCGTCATGCCCGAGGCACTTGTACTTGCTTACTGCTGACATGCCATATGTATGAAAGTTCATGGGGTGGGTGCACAACGGCCCCAGGAAACATGTTCAACCTTGTAATTACCAACCCAAGGTTTGGTTTTTGTACAGCCTAGCATGCGCTTCACTTCAGCAAGATTTATTAGCCCATCAAATTTGTTTCCTGTTCAGTTTGAAAAGTAAAAAAAAACAGGCTGCTACATTTGATTAGAAAGTGCTACATTATTTATTGTGTGCAATACCGTCATTGATTTGTGTTTTACTATAATGATAAAGATTCACCAAGGTAAGTGTCTAATGTCTACTGCCTTACAGGTACAAGATGATAACTTGGAACCTATTCTATCAAGAACATCACACACATTAGCTGCCTTTCTTAGCTCTTTTAAATAATTGCGGATTGTTCATGCTTTTCCAAACTTTGTTACAGTATTGTACACCTTGGAATGTTTTTTAGGGACATGTGAAAACATGAATTAAAAAGCTGTTTAATGTAGACAGTAAGCATTTATTTAGAAAAAAAATAGAATAAATACAAGTAATATTAATATAACAAGTACTGATTTTACATATGTCATTTTTTTCCAAACCTCTCCTCATGGCAGCCCAGTATTTGTAGATATCCTCTAATATCTGGTTTGGCTAATCAAGCTTAATTAATAATTAAGTTAAATCAAATATACTGGTGATGGAATTTAACAAATTCATGTGCTGACAGGTGGCATCGAGGAGACATCTGGAACAAAATGTTATTCAAACTAGCTCACTACTTTTTTCAAAATACAAAATTCTCATTATTTTTACTGTATTTTTGTTTACTTGCAACTATACTAATGATATATGGTATTTTTACTGGCAAAAGCATGCTTACTCCAAAATAAATGGTTTTAAACAATATGCTTAGGTGACTAAAACTTTTGCACAGTACTGCATATCAGTATTTTAAACCCATTTTGGTTCTCCAACATTTCATTTCATATGAAGTCAGTAGCCTTAACTGTCCTATTCTCTCCTGTAAGGACTATCTGGATCTCGCTGCCTCCACGCCTGCAGACGCCCTGCTATATGACGACGCCCTCTCTGAAGAGGACACCCCCCTAGTGGACTGTAATAACGCCCCTCTCCCTCGAACCCTTCCCTCCACTTGGATTGAAAACAAGCTCTATGGTAGAATTTCCCATGCATTCACTCGATTCTAAGACAAAAAAAAATAAGATCTGTTTGTCTTTGAATAGCTTCCATAGGGAGGGTGCTGTGATTGTGCTAATGGCATGATAGCCAGAGAACCCTGAAAACTGCCCAAGATTTTTAGATGAGTTTATCGTGTAGCATTTGGAGTATGATCAGATGTCTGATTTTGGACCTGCTTCCGATGTACATGGACAAGCCTGTTAAAATGAGTTACTTTTTTAATGACCTTTTTTAAACTTGCGTATTATTGGTAACATTAAGTACAACACACTTTCTTGTTCTTTGGGAAAAACACATCCCAAGATGCTTGTTTTGTAGGACCTGCATCGTTTTTTTACATTTGCACTGTTATTTATAGTTTTGCTTAGGTTTACATTTGAAACAGGTCCCATCTAAATCAATCTTGATCTGTTTGGTATGAATCACATACTGGCATTCTCTGTAATATCTTTTACATATTACAGAAATGAAGTGTTTGTATAGATGGACTCAACAATGCTGAATAGAGAAGCAGTAAGGCTTTTGAATTAAACTCTTCCATTATATATGAATATGCAAGGCTTACTTAGCTTACGTGATCCCAGTAATTGTGTAAACATCTAGTCGTTGCTCCTTTAGTGTATTAAGCAATAATATGGCTATCAGTGAGGTGTTTCTGTGCAGCCATCCGGAGGTCCAATCAATCTAGGAATGTGCAAAAAAAGTAAAATACAAAGAAACCCCTGTTGTTTTTCTTGCTATTTTATGAACTAACATTACCAGGGATGACATAGCATGGATAATATCATCACACTGGGTTACTGACATGAATGTAAAAACTATTGGGACCAAAGACATCTTTCATTGCATTGCATATGTTATCAGTAAATCCCATTTTGTCTAATTTACCCCTTAATGCGTACATTCAAAATGATCAACGAACAGAGTTTCTTTTGAGAGCCTTACTGTCTGCACTCTACACCCTTTTTCCTCAGTGCAGAAAAAATGATATGTTCTCGTTTTTAGGCATGTCATACCCGAACTGGCCTGAGAAGAGCCCGGTACAGCTCAACAGACTTGATGCCACTAACCCAGTCTTTACAAGATATGCCAATGATAGTGTTTATGCAAACTGGATGGCTTTGCCTTCTCCCGCAAAAATTATGGACAAGCTTGATAGTTAAAAATGCAAACCATGAAATTAATGGTGGAAACAACTTAGAAGGGAAGACATGTAAATGTATTATAAACTGTATATACGTTATACGATGCTAAAGTTGATTCCCTTTTATTTCTGTTGCACGAGCATTGTGTGTGGAAAGAGGCAATAGACTGCAAATTGGCTGGAATGTTACATGCAGCTCGTAGGTATGTTAATCATTACCTCAAGGCCCTGTTGGCCATGTTGTATCATTGCATGACTGTGTACACAGTTTAATGTCCATGTTAAATGTCTTTCAAGTGCCTGTGCCGCTTCTATTATAGCCTCCACTTATAAATGCAAGACAGAGAAGATCTTGATTCCAGCCCAGAAATCAAAGGGAGCTTCTTTACCATCTCCTCTTATAAATTTTTGCCAATGACTGTACAAAGAATGGATGCAAATGTCATCTAGAGAAGTAAAAATGTTTCTCCTGTGTGATAGGAACATGTACCTTTTTTTATTTGTTTGTTTGTTTTTCCAAAGAAGTTTGCCACTGAAATTTGTCACGAAAAGTATCAAGTATCTCTGTGGTACCTCTGGGACATTAAATTGAAATTAAACCATGGCTACATTGAGTTTAATGTCTCATGGCCGGTTATGTTTGATTCCTTGTGAAGACATTCTTTGTGCAACAATTATAACAATGCAGATGAGTGTGATTCCTTGTTATGTTGTTATAATGTTATTAATTTGCAATCAATAAAACTGATAGAAGATGTTTGGCTGTTTCTTTTATTATATTTCACTTCTGTACTGTGTATATGAATATGAATAAATTCAGGCTCTTACAGCACAACACTTTAAGTCAAACTTGCATGTATTGCCTTTATATGTAAGATGCTCAAGGAAAGCCACTTTCCCTTCATGCATTGCCAGGGACATAGCGCCAAATTTTGGGCCCCTGGCACAGTTATGCACCAAGGGTCCCTCCCACAAAAATCAAGAAAAGAAAAAATTGTATTTCTAATGTTGCATTTCTTTTGGTTGGTATGTTTTTAAGGGTAAAACAGCTAACAATCAGGTAAGTTCTGCTTTCACTGCAAAATATGGTAACTTGGCAAGTGAAAATATGTGTATACCTGCCAATATAGTGAGTTAATTTTACTCAACAAAATTACCCAAAACAAGTACAAAATGTCAATAATAGAAATGTGAAGAATAGAATCTTAAAATAAGAATACAATGATCTCAAAATGACAAATATAAGATATATTAACAAGATTTAAGATAAACTTTTTTTTGCAACGTTGAATCCTCAATCTTGCTGTAGTTCAAAAAGGATTAAACTTCAAGATAATGTAATTAGAGAAAAAATCAAAATAGAACAAAAAAAAATAGGTATACTTACTGTCATTTTCACTGAAACTGCTTAACAAATGATTGAATGTCTATAATAAAATGTTTACTTGCTGCATTGAATCAAATCCTACTTCTTAATCAGCTTGTGCTTGTTATGAATTACTGCTCTATATTAGCCTATCGCTAGTTAGCAAGCTATCTTACTTTCCTGCAGCATATTTACTGTTCGGACCTTTAGGTTCACCTGTTTTCTAAAAGAAATTCATCAACAACTTTTAGCTTTCTCGCTCATTCTCAGTGCTTCTTGCGCTTCTGAAATACTGACTTTGGTTTTGGTTTTAAAATTGGCTGCTCCTCTGCCTGCTCTCTTTAGCCATGTTATTTACAAGACAGATTTGTGCCCCAGAGGAGCCACTTTTGTTTTTGAGCAGGCAGATAGGCAGAGAAAAGACACAACACTCAGAACTTATCATGGAAGTTAGTATTTATGTCTACTATAACAGAAAGTATCGAATTTAGAAACCAAAACCTATTTAACTGCGAGGCTTTTGGAGGGTCCCCCCATCCAAGCAGGGCCCTGGTTAGTTAGGTCCACCATTACCTGTCAGAAACCTCTTATATTGAGCCAAAATCTCGCTCATTTCACCATAAAATACTAATACACATACTAGCATATGATATGTGTGTGTATACACACACACACACACACACACACATATATATATATATATATATATATATATATATATATATATATATATATATATATATGTATATATATATATATATATATATATATATATATATTAGTGATTGCTAAGCTTCATACAGGTCTACACATTATTTCAGTCACACCACTCTGTGCTGTCGCAATGGTAGAATTCACATAGGACAATGCACTTAATTTCCAGAAATAGGAGGGCTTGGTTACAATGAGTAATTATATATTTAAGGTGTGTTATATTTTGTAACGAACAAACTGTAACCCTAAATATGACATCGTGCTTTAGAAGTCCCGGATTCAACAGAGGGCTTTTGCTGTTGAAGGTGTGCTTTTATTTTGAAGTAATCCAGATGAAAACCATCGGAAACGGCCCCCATTTTTCTCTGTTCTTCCGTGTTTTGTGCCCCGTGGCGTTTAGTTCCCACGTTTGTTTTGTGGAAATAATGATTATTCTCACAATTTAACACAGTGAACATTAGCATAGCTACCAAGGTAAGCGAACTCCATGGTTATTGCGTTAACTTCTGTAAATAAAATAACTTCTACGGGAGCATTTCTGACAGCATCCGGCAATTAGCTGTTCCTAAAACAAGCTGCTGCTGCCGCTGCTGCGTCTCTCTGTTCACGGAGATCCGCTACCAGCACTGTTTAACGGCATCCAAATTAACAGCCTCGGTATTACGGCGTGTAGGATTTTAATATGGTGAATATTATGCATTTAAAGTAATTTAAGGAATTTTCTTTTTCAGACTGTTGGACAATCTGCTGCCGAAATCTGCTGACGCCCGAGTTTTCTCGGAAACGTTAATCTATGTTTGTAACGTAGGTTAATTAGTAAAGCTGAGTTTCATTGTGTCGCTCAAAGAACAGTCAGTTTTGTAGTTAGTAGTTTATCTATCGAGCAAGTTTTGAAAGTACTCGGTGACTGATACAGTGGTGAATGATTTACTTGTGGTGTTGACTATGTTTTTGCTGATCATTTGAATTAGCAGAATTGTTCTTTGAACGTGAACCTTTTAGATGCATATTACTTCCTCTCTAAACATGATGGTATCGGAGGTTTTCTGTCTGTCTTCACCCTAAAGCTGTCAGATCTGTTGGTTAAATCAGTTTTTTAATCATTGTTCAGTTTGACTAATTGTTCCTCTTTCTTTACAGGTGGCATATTTTTGTGGTCGAGATGAACGAACTGGATTGGCGACGACACATTTGCATATTTCTAAAGAATCTGAATATTAACAACAAACTGTCCTAGAAATGCATCATGACTGCAAGAGATGCGTGACTTCCCTGCACTCTACACTTGTAGTTTCCCTTTTACATGGAAATTGTATAACTGTGTGTTGCCTGAAGTCCACGTAGATGTGTAATGGATTTATTCCATGTGTAAAGTGAGGTTTTGCCATAGCAGAAATGAGGAGGCGTGGTTGATCGACAGCACCCAGTCTCTCCGCTATGCCCAGGCGAGGGCTGCCTCTGCAGGGCCGGGTGCGCTGGCTCCTCCTGGGTATATTCTTGCTATTTGTGTTGCTTTTCTTTGCCTACCTGCTGGAATGCACCCCTCCTGCAGATGTAAGTCATGTGTTGCCTGGCCTTGGAGGAGAGCCTTATGGGAAAGAATATTACCAGGCCCTGCTGCAGGAACAAGAGGAGCGGCACCTCAGTCGAGCTGCCAGCCTCAAGAGACAGATCGCACAGCTCAAGCAGGAGCTACAGGAGATGAATGACAAGCTGAAGACCCTGCAAGAGAAGAAAGAGAGCCCTGGACCACAGGGTCTGGTTGATGGCAAAGATCAGGAACCGAGCGACCTCCTGGAGTTTTTGCATTCTCAGATTGATAAGGCTGAGGTGAGTACTGGGGCAAGGATACCCAGTGAGTATGCTTTAGTGCCCTTTGAGAGCTTCACCACTACTAAGGTTTACCAGCTGGAGATGGGCCTGACTCGGCATCCTGAGGAAAAGCCTGTACGCAAGGATCGGCGAGACGATCTGGTAGAGGTGATTGAGGCAGGCCTTGATGTTATTAACAACCCTGACGAAGAGGATGGTCAGGAGGATGACATGCCCATGCAGAGACAGACTTTCACAGAGAGCCATTTTGTTGAGGGTAAGAACTGATCATTTGCAGTCTTGGTAATGTTTGTGTGATCTGAGCACAATATTTCCATTTGAGTAATGGAAAAGAACCAGGAAAGGCTATTTTGGTTAAAAACATTCTGTATTTTGTTTACTCCCTGTGCTTTTTATCAGGGCTTTACAGGACTGAGCGAGACAAAGGCACACTGTATGAACTGTACTTTGCGAAGGAGAATTCCCAAGAATTCCGTCACGTCACTCTCTTCCGTCCCTTTGGTCCCCTGATGAAAGTCAGGAGCACATCTGTGGACACAGCCAGCACAATCATTAACATTATAGTGCCTCTGTCAGGCAGAACTGAAGCTTTTGTTCAGTTCCTACACAACTTCAGGTGAGCATAGTTGACTAAGATTCTATAGAATAAGCTGGTCATTATGTGGGCATTTCATAGATAAAACCAAGCCAGGTTCAGTCCAGTTATACTGAAAAGCACAATCAGTTGTTTTTCAGTAATGATGTGGGATTCTTTTTTTTTTCTGGAGGGTGGAATTTCATGCATAAGTGTGAGAAACCAGCCTGTACTCTACATTGCATAAGTCAGTCTAATGTGCCTTTTTTTTTTTTTTCAGGGAAGTTTGTATACTGCAGGACAAGCGAGTGCATCTCACGGTAGTCTACTTTGGAGAAGAGGGTTTGCAAGAGGTGAAGTCATCCTTACGAAAAATGTCCAGGTTTGTGCCCCAAAGGAGTTTTATTTTCAGTATAGCTAGTTAAATTTTAACTCCCTGTCGAGGCTCCAAGCTAGTACAAAGACAGAAACTAGAGTGACTATATTGAACATATTGTGGTTTTCAAAAAACAGGACATTGGGGGCAGGATGGAGGCGTAGGGTAGACTGTAGAAAGCAAATTTCAACAAGAAATCAAAACCAAATACTGGACATTTTAGGGAAGTCAGAAAATCCTGGCTGGATGCAATTTTTTTTCTTGCAAAAGAGGAACAAAAACTTACCAAATGGGGAGTCTGCTTGTCCAAAGGCATATATTATATTCTGTGTTCTCATTATAGTTTTTGAAGAAAATTAGTAATTGTGGTAAACACAGATTGAACTAATGTGACAGACATGTGCTTCTAGAGCCAGGCTGTTTTTGTCCTGGTGGGCTGTTGTCCGGCACAGTTGTGTAATTCCCCTACTCAAACACACCCATTAAACCTGACAATTAACAGATGAGTTGAACCAGCTGTGTTTGGGCAGGGAAATCACCAAACTGTGCACAGCACCAGCCCTCCACTATCAAAGTTGAATACCTCTGCTCTAAAGGATGTTTACTTGTCAAAGGCTGTTGTCTTTGATATTGATTGTGTTTATGTAACTGCAACTCCTGTTGTTCTAAGTGAGGAGAGCTTCACCAACTACACTCTTATCCCTGTGGATGAGGAGTTTTCACGTGGAAGAGGGCTGGACATTGGCGCTCATGCATGGACAAAAGGGAATGATGTGTTGATGTTCTTCTGCGATGTAGATATTTACTTCACACTTGAATTTCTCAGCACGTGTCGTCTGAATACAACACCAGGTATGACATTTCAGCAGCAGCATTGAAGGTGTGTTTACCTTCGGTATATTTATAGCAGTCTTGCAATGACCAGATACTAGACATAATAATATGAAGATGGACACTATTTTTAGTGAAGGTATGTGAACATTAAAAAAAAAAACCACTTAATCTGTGTATGGATAAGAATATAACAGAATACAACACCAGGCCTGTCCTCTTGTCTGCTTGTTTGTGTCTTTCAAGGTTGAAGCACTCTTCTCTGTAAATTTGTCCCATTTCTTTCTATCTAAGGCAAGCGAGTCTTCTACCCGGTAGTTTTTAGTCTGTACAATCCTGCCATAGTATATGGAAACCTTGAATTGCTTCCTCCCATTGAACATCAACTGGTATGTAACCAGTTCATTCACTCATGCTTTTAATTTTGTAGCCTTTAAATACCATATTATATAATATGGTGCCATTTTGTTCAGAAGATTCATATAAATAAATGAATGTACTCAATACACAAGTGTTAATAATGGTATTAATATCGTTGTTATTTATAGATTCATAAAAAAGATGCTGGATTCTGGAGGGACTTTGGATTTGGAATGACTTGTCAGTATCGTTCTGATTTCCTCAGCATTGGTAAGTTGCATTGCCATGAAAATGAGTAACTAAATAAAATACCAATTTAAAAAAAAAAACTTAACTAAACTTCTGTTTTCTTTTGTTCCTCTGTGAATCAAAATTTAAGGAGGATTTGATCTTGAAGTGAAAGGTTGGGGAGTAGAAGATGTCCACTTATACAGAAAGTATCTGCGGAGTGACCTGATAGTGATGCGCACTCCTGTATCAGGTCTGTTCCACCTATGGCATGAGAAGCTGTGTGCAGACGAACTGACTCCAGAACAGTATCGTATGTGCATCCAGTCAAAGGCCATGAATGAAGCCTCTCACTCTCACTTAGGCATGTTGGTGTTTCGTGAGGAAATAGAAAACCACCTTCGCAAACAGGCCTACAAGACTCAAAGCAGGGCAGAGGATTGAGGCGGTTGTTGAACCTGCTGAAAAGTAAGCACACTGTGTCAGTGGACTACTGTTGTGCGAAATAGCCAATTGAGATTCGTCCAGATATTTTTAGATCAATATTCTGTCTGAACTAATGCAGAACTTATATCTGAAATAATCCATGGAGTAAAAATAAACCCTAGGATCCACAGACAGACAAAATATGGGTGGGAAACCATACGTACTGAAGTGCTTTATATGGACTTTTGAAAGCTGCGGACTTGACTGTGATTTCTCATGTGAAATCTCTATAACCGGTCAGTTTACTTTTGTTACTTGAGTGTTAATGGATATAAAAAGACTGTTGCTGTTGGTGCTTTTATATTCAAGCACATTATACTTGGCCTAATATAGGCAACTATCAGTTCCCCACTCAGTTTTTTTTTTATTTTTTAATTTTAGTTTTTCTTAATGGAGCCATACTGTTACATTTTTTATTTAGTTAAAAATGCGCTGTGAAAAAGGGTCCAGAGTTCGTAAATGTTGATGCAGCTGAAAGAGACAATCAGAGTGGATGTTAACAAAAAAGGAATGTTATGGAACAAGTCAACTAGTAACTGTTTTTTGTACTGAACTTCCCCAACCCTTTCTTCTGTATCGTTTTGAGCATGACCAATGACTATTCAGCAAGTGTCAATTTTAGCCTTTGCACTGTGTTTAATGACACCATTTAGTGTCACTTGTTTTAGTTCAGCCAACTGTAGATAGTCAAATCTTTGACTCATCGGTTCCTTAAAGCTGGTTTAGAATCTAGAAAGTGATTCTCACAAATCACTTAGTTTCCACTGAGGATATGTCCTCAGCTCATACTGTTAACAATAAAGGGACGTAAACAGGACTGACAGCTACAGAGTCTGAAAAGTATGGAACTGCATGTTACAATGGTGAATTTTTTTCAAAAAAAGTAAATAAATAAATGAAGAGCAGGCTGCCTTTCAGTGTTGTGTTGACTCTAGTTTGTCATTGTTCCTGAGTGGTCATAGTATAAATTGAATAGGAGTCAAAATGTTTTTCATGAAGGTGTGTGTATATATGTTCATAATTAACATTATGAACACAGTCTGAGGGCTCAAACCAGCTTTGTCATCAGTGACAGAAATACAGGTGGTACTAAATCAGTTTATTATGTGGCTTTGCTGTTGCTGTTAGTTAAATAAATTGGACAGATTTGTATTCTTAACCAAAAGCAATAAAGTTTCGGTTAATACTATGGTTCATGAATCAAGTGCACTCGAGCTTTCACAGTGCTATAAAGATGCAGATGTAAGGTAGTACTTAAATCCACTATTTAATTTTTAATTTCTTAATTTAAGACATACTGAATAATACTTCTGTATTCATATTTGTACAAGAAACTACAAGAATAGAAAAATCAAAGAAAATAAAAAATAATGTGATTCAACTGTGAAGACAGGCCCTTCTGGAACATTCGAAACCAGCTCAATTTTTATGAATATGCATTGATTTCTGGTGATCCATGATGTTAGTGCACTGTCTGCTCTGGACGTATGTCCATACTCCTATAAATCTCTTTAAGAATGAGCAATGCTGTGTCCTCAGACTCCCTGCAAAACAGACAAAAAAAAACACATCATAAGTAGGAAGGATTATTGCACAGCTCTTATTTCCTCAGATATATTTACATTGTGCTATACTCCACATACCAATAACACAGGTGGCTCTGGAGAGCAAAGAGGTATTCATTGAAGCTCTCAATGGGCTTCTCTTGTAGGACATAGTCAATGCGATTCCCTCCATTGAGCATGCCCACCTTCACCTTAGTCTCCTCCTCTTTCAGGGGTTCGGGAGTATCCACTACTAGCTTACTGGCAGCTATACAGACACATACAAATTTACAAGAGTTATGTGATTCAGTCTGACTGAGCAGAAAATCCCAGCTGAAAACAATGTAATATATTTATCAAAATAACAAAGTAAGGATGCTCTACAAAACATTTTTCCACCTAACCTTCGTCCTTTTGCTTCTCCTCTTCCTCTTTGATCTGACTGGCCACCATGGCCAGCTGTTCATGCAGCTGAATGGAGGAGGTGTGAGCACGAGCAAAGTCATTCAGCGTCTGCCAGGCACTCTTAAGAGAGCTAATGAAACCTTGCTTCAGGTCAGAACCCATCCGAGAGAGACTCTCCTTCAATTCTAAACACATAATAGACAATATATTTGATTGATGATTCATTTTTTAATGTGTTAAACCTTTTCAATGTTATTAGTTCTGTAACTTCCAAATTAAATCTCCAACACTTTACAGAGCATTTCTCAAAATACACAACACTCCATAATTAAGGGTTTTAATTACAGTACAGTTCTAGTTCAGAAAGGAGTACTTTAGGCTGCAATCAGGCTTTTCACCACAAAGTGGCAGCTAGAGCACTAAACCTCCTTGGACAGGCAGTGGGTAGTTAAAGTTCAGAGTTTTTAGATTACAGATTGCTCTCTGAATGCAAGAACCAACAGCGCACAATAAACCACATTTAGAAGCTTAAAATGGTTTGTACATGTATGAATTTTAAAAACGGAATGTAAAAGTGTATTAATGCTAGCTTATAATGAGCTCTAAACAACTGCACTGATGGGGAAAGCATTTCTTTTTATTAAAAATTAATGATCAAATGAAATGATGAAAACGTAGAAGAAATTCTATCATACATACCAAGATGAAGTCTTTTCCTCCCTTTATGATGTGGAATCAAAACGGGATCCAATTCTACATCTGGCAAAATCATCGGCTCAATCCTGTATGCCACTGGATCCAACTGATAAAAGCACAAAAAAAATTGGTGGTGGTATGATTTCTATTTATGGCACAGGCACAATTTCATTACAATCAAATGACTTGCAACATCATCTATAAACTAAAGAAACAAGACAATCCATTATTAAAAGTTACATGACAGACAAAATCACTGCTTTGTACTTTTAACAGCAGTGTCAGAATTGAAATAATAGTGGTATTTTGTAGTATTTTATATGACATTGTTACTAACTAGACTTCAAAGTTAGAATGGCTTTGATTTGTCACAACTCTCACAGATCACTGCACAGGAACAAACGAGACCATCAGTGGGCTCAGGCAGCACACAATACAAAACTGTTTTACAAAAGGAGACAGTGAAGTTCAACTGATAATGTGAATACATGCAAAATAATTTGCTTGGTTTTGTGACGAGGACACAAACATGTTGAGATTTGGTCAAACATACTGGATGGTAAATGTTAAAGAAGCCCTTGCAGGTGGGAAAGCGGTAGTTCTCCTCTATCTTCTCCACACCTCGCACTGTCAGAAACATACCAATGGGAGAGCCGAGAGCGAAGAAATTCATAGGCTCAAAATCCAGAGCATGATACACCACAGACACCTATAGGAGGAGATCATATTCAGTTCAGGGTTTAAAAAAAAAAACACAAGACTTCACAAGAATTGAAACTGTCGTAAGAACCTTTCTACAACTGATGTCACAACTAAAATGGAACTGTATCTCAATATGAACACTTTCAGCAAGCATGCTAATATAGTTATAACTGGCACTGTAATCGAATGTGGATTGGTCTAGAACTTTACCTGCCCAGTGCCAATTTCAAAGCAATTGTAATCCACATGAATGGAGGACATAGTCCTGCCAACTGGAACTTTGATGTTGGCAATATCTGTGACTGATCTAGTTTGTTGAGAAGCCGAGACTTCCTTAATTTCCTCTTTGGCCACAATTTTCTCTGGTGCAGCCTGTTGTGCAGCCTGAAAATGAAAAAAGGAAGGATGAATTTTATTAAATCAGTTAACTAAGTTGACCAACACCAGACACATCATAGAGAAAAATGTGTGCATGCCTGTTTTGCTGCCTTCTCTTTGACAAACTTGGCAAGCTTCTTGCGTGGCCCCAAAGGGATGCCCATTTCCTTCATATCATCCACTGTGCACATAAGCTGCAGTAAGGCATAGAGACACAGTATCAGAATGAACAAACACTAATATGAAATGTATTAATGTATGAGTGAACATGAAAACTTGCTCTTACCAGTGACTCAACATCAATCTTCTCATGTTCGAAAGTGCTGAGGTACTCAGACAAGCCCAAGTGCTCCAGAACGGACGACAGGTCAGCAGTCTCCTCCTCGTTCCCCTCCTCTGCTGCAGCTGGGCTAAAGGCCTCAATGGCCTGGGAGATAGGAGGACTAACCTATGGAACAATCATTTAGTATTCATCTGGCTCAGGTGCTCCAGTAAAGCAAAAATATATTGAAGTATTCAGTGGTTACAAAACATAGCACCCTCTCGCATTGCTAAGATGTCAAAGCTAGATAACTGATACAGTCTTAGAATATTAATTTACACAGGATAATTGATAAGATAAAGTTTTTAGTTATGTTTAGCGGCTCAATCAGAAACCCTACGAATAAGATTTTAATCTACATTTGTCCTCTCCTCCGTGCTCTTTTTGAAAATAAACAGATGTACCCAAACCTTGACACCTCACCTGGCAACTCTCGGTGGACTTAAAATGCATGTTGTATAAGCAAACTTCCTAATCTCAACTGCCTAATAATTTTAACGTTACCTCTTTCACTTCAGGTTGAGCATTTCCATTTGGAGTTGACTCAGAAGAAGGAGAGCCAGTCTTCTGATTAGAAAGCAAGTCAAAAAGTATCAAAGAGCCTGCAAGTAGAACAATCACAGGTTAAAATGCAGCAAGAATAATCAAAACAACATCAATGCACTTAGATTATTAGGCACCACAGGCATTTAAACAAAATAGCAGTAAGACCTTAACACAGAACTTTTATGAACTTTTTATGACATACTTAGTTCTTCAGACAGAGAAAAACATTCCTACCTAAGCTGTGTCCAGACACTGACACACCACCTTTGAAGTCTGGGTTTCTCTGCATGAACAGCGCATATAGCCGATTAATCTCAAAAGCCACAGTGTCCATGATTGTCTGGCAATAGGTTGGGCTGTTGTAGAACAGCACATCTAAGAGGGTTTCATTGGTAAAGTGTCGCAGCCGACCTGTGCTGGGCAGTGTTATCTTCTTTATCCGCCTACGAAAAAAGAAAAAAAGAAAAAAGGTTTGGATTTAGTAAACACTACTTTTGCACTGTTGCTGCTCACCTCACAAAGTGATTTAGTGTTATTAATGTAGCTTTTCAAACACTGTATGTGCAAAAGTATGAGGATACCTCATTATGACCTCTAAATGACCTAAAATGGACATTCTAAACTATGACCATTAATATTGAATTCAATCCATCCCAAAGAGTGCAGGACTCTGTGCAGGCCACTGGAGTTTCTCCACGTCAGAGTTGTCAAACCATGACAGGGGCACAGTCATGCTGGAAAAGGAAAGTGCCTTCCCCAAACTGTTGTCACAAAGTCAGAAGCATATAATTTTCTAAAATGTCTTTGTATGCTGTAGCATTAACATTTCACTTAACTGGAACTAAGGCGTCTAGACTAAACCCTGAAAATCAGCCCCAGACCATTATCCCTCCTCCATCAAACTTTGCTGCTGGCACTCTACATTCTGGTTGGTAGCGTTTCTCCTGGCATCCGCCAAACCCAGATTCGTCCATTAGACTGCCAGATAGTGAAAAGTGATTTATTATTACAGAGAATATGTTTCCACAGCTCCAGAGTCCAGTAGCAGTGTGCTTTACACCACTTCATCCAACACTTGGCATTGTGCATAGTGATCTTAGGCTTGTGAGCAGCTGCTCAGCAATGGAAACCCATTACATGAAGCTCCCAATGCACTGTTCATGTGCACTCAGCTGCCCCACTTTTTGAGACTGCGTGGGCTACCGCTTCATAGCTGAGCTACTGACGCTTCTATACGCTTCCGTTTCACAATAATAGCACTTAGATTTGACTGGGGCAAATCTAGCAGGGCAAAAGTTGCGCAAACTGGTTTGTGGCAAAATGCATGACAGTGCATTGGCGTATTAAGTGTTGCTCAAATGACAATAGAAGTTGCTTTGTGACTACTGTTTGCTACTTGCCGCTAGACTACTACTACAGATTTTTTTTTCCTTGTGAAGCTCCAGTGATTGATATGCAGAAAGAAACTAAGATCAGTGTTCATAAGTGGCTAGCCTACTAATCTAGTTAACAACATGGATAAGAACAAACAAATATGACATTTAACAAAAAAATAACAATAATATAAAAAATAACGCATGTATGCATACTGGTAAAAAATGTAAAAATGCAGGATTATGCATGTTTCATTCTTTTCTCATTGTATACTGTTGTGTTTGTTGATTGAAAGCAATACAGAGTGGCCTGATAGGCTGACGATTTACACACAAGTCTGACTTATTTCACTTTAAGGACAGGGTCTTGGAACACGTAATCATACCTGTCTACACCTGTAGCATCTCCATGCAGGGCTGTGTGCCAATGCACAGGCAAAAACTCCACACGGCTAATAATATGCTCATCTTGAGCCTTCTTAAAATGACTGCGCAGCAACTTGAGGGATACACTGCGGAAGTCATCCACTGTGAACATACAGAACACACACACACACACACAGTTTTATCCAAGATCACACGATGCCACAACTCCGCAACTTTCTGACCATAAGGAACACAAAGGAAAGCCGATGGCTGATTCTGACTGCATTTACAGATTAGCAGTCTGCAGAAACAGGCAGCAGGGTCCATTTAGAATTAATATAACTCAATGTTTTAGAAAGTCTACGGGTCTTACCACATTCCACCATGCTCCTGAATCGCAGATCACACACTGGGCCAATGCCATGCACCATAAACACCAGATGGTCTACTTGTGGCATCTCACCTAGAGAAGAGGTTGCAACAATCTTTATACATTCAGCCAAAATGTTCTCTCATATAATATGAAACACATTTCTGTTAAATTTAGGTTAAAAAAACATCTAAGCATTTATGTGCTTTCGACTAAACACTTGGGTGCACAGGCTGGATTAGGACACTCCAACAACAAAGAGCTGCACACAATATAGGCTGATAAATGCAGCATCACTGGCATCCATGAGGGTCTTAAAAAATAAAGTGGGTTACAGCACACACTGTAGATTAACATTTCTTATTACAGTCTCATGGAGAAGTTTGGGTGTCCCTGGTCAAATTACATGTTTGGTGATTTTCTAAGTGAAAATAAGCACAAATCCTCTACAGACAAGACATAATTACTGTTTTACTGTTTATTTGCAAAACTTAATATAAGAGGTAAAAAAAGTAAGACAAAAGTTCCTCTATATTCCTATATTTACACTTGTTCTCTGTAGATCTGTTAGCTTATTATACTTGTTCTCTGTATAATCTGTTATCTTATTTTCATTTAGAAAATCAACAAAACATATAATTTGAGTGGGGGATGATAACACTTTTGCCCATGACTGTACCTGGAGTGCCAAGACAACTCTTACTTAAGATCTATATATACCCGCAGGGCAAAACCTTTTAGGTTTCCTCACCTCAGTTGTAGAACAAGCTTCCTTCCAAATATTCAAACAACCCTACCTCTGACCTCCCTCCATCATGATATAAAGATCTTTAGCAATACTAAACAATATAAAATTATAATTACAGTGTTTAAACACCTATTCAGCTATTCATTTGTAAGGATGAGAAATTATGAATTCTTTCAGATTCTCTATGTTTATTTTTTACCTTCTACTGTTTGTATTTTACTGACTTGCTCCTGATTAACAACAAATGTCTAAATGCAAATGGCAAGAAGCCTACTTACCATCAGGGACTTCATCATGGTCATCATCCACACCCCTCTTCACCACTCTGGGCCGTGTCTGACCATCCTGTGTGGTGCCCCACTCATCAGGCATGGCTGATGGCTGAAACTGTACTATCACCTGCAGAGTGGACCAATGATGTTTATATAAATAAGACACAAGATGTCTTTGTGAACTTGAAATCTCTGTCTGAACTTGACTGCTCATGTTCAGATGTTCCAACACATTTCCCGAGTGTGTATTGGGTTCAGATCGGCTCAAATTTCATGTTTGAGTTCTTTAAGCCCGCTACCAACTTTTAACATATGCATTTCCCCTGCTTTAGTTCTTCTCTTTACTTTATTCTTCCTCACTGCATTCATTACCTTAAAATATTTTTTTTTTAATCTGACATGCTGGAGTCACCCAATTGTGTTGTTGTCCACAAGGTCCATGCTTTGAAACATGGGAAATATAACAGCAAACTGATTCAGGAGAGAACAGTTTACCGCAGCCAAAAAGACATTTACGATTAATTTCTTTAGCCAAAAAACAACATTCATGTTATATGTCTAATACATTATATGTAAAGCTCCTTGTAAAGAAATAGAGCTTTACGATTAAACAGGTGAGAGCTGAATCAGTACGAATCAGTACCATCATATTACGGAAAGTTTATCCAGAATTAAATATTTGGGACGTTGTTTAAAAGCACTGCATGATGAGTAAACTCTTTAACGCAGAAGACTCATTTTGGATGAACTTATTACTTTATTATGTTTAATTATTTTATATTATGTTATTGTCCTTAAATGTTTATTTAACCAGTATTATCATTAATAATGTGCCAGTTCAGGTCAGTTTCGGACAGAATTTTGTTGGTCAGGTCAGATTCAGACTCAAATCTTTTAATGATGTTCAGGTTGGGTTTGGACAGATCAAATTTGATGGTGTGGCCTATTGGGCCCAATTGAAGTTCTACTTCTTATACTCATGACTGTTAAAACAGCACTGTTTAGAGAGGGCATGTGAATGATATACCTTAGGGTTGTGCATGACAATTGTTTCCCCTGAAGGAAATTCCAGTCTGCGGTGCCACTGATTAGTAGACACAGCTTTCTTATATTCTGCCTGTTAGAATGAATAAATAAAGTCATAAAGTCTTATACACGTACCACCCATTCTCAAAGAATTTGCAATATGACAACCTAATAAGAAATTACAGAATTAGTTATGAACTAATTAACAGAAAAGAAAAACCACAAGTACTGCTAAGTGAGGCATTAGCAATTATGACATAAATCACAATTGTTGTAAACCCTCCAAGTAGGCAAACTCATGGAGAAGTTGAAGTACCTCCAGTTTGTCACTGAACTCCTCTGAATAGGGAATAAAGCGGCTGTCTGAATCTCCTTTGTAGAACCAGGTACAGCGTCGGACCTCAGCTGGTTCCTCCTCCCAGTACACAGCGGTCCGATTGCGGTCATATAGTTGCACATCATAGCGTCCACCATCCGTACACACAATCACATTCTCTGGGTCTGGCTGGACTAAACACCAGAGGTACCAGAACACAATCTTTTAACTTTCATAACAGTCACAATCAAGCAGTACATGAATCAACCACTGATCTATAACACTAGTACATTATACTAGCAATATGTTGTAACAGGCCTTAGCCTTAAATATGTAAAAATAAACTGGCCCTCCGCTCTCAAACTTTGCACTAAGTACTACTGGTAAAGCAAAGAGTTTTTATCATCACTGAGACGTGCTATACATAAGGTTTAGTCCAACAGTCAGAAATGTTTCTTTTCACATAAATCCCATCTCAAACTGACAACTAACAACTGAATGCATGCATCATTTATAAAAGATTTCTCTCTTACCAGAATTAAAAGTCTCTTCCAGTCGAATAGAATCCAGAATGCTGAAGGGAAGCCAAACTTTCTTGGACTCCACTTGTTTGCAATAGAACCAATGAGGCTGGACAGGCTCATAGACATTATAAGAGTACTGCATCATAGGGTTGACTGGAACCACAGGTCCAGCCATACTAGGTCCAGCCATACTAGGTCCAGCCATACTAGGTCCAGCCATACTAGGTCCGGCAGGGGGTGGCGGAGTCTGTGTAGGGGGAGGCTAGAGAAAGGAATATCACCTTTGGTCTTCATGTATTTTCATGCTAAAAGCATCAAAAATTTCAAGACCTCATAAATAAAAGAACCTACCTTAGCAAATGTTGGAGGTGTTGTTTGGAATGTGGGAGCTGGTGGGGCTTGAGAGTAGGGGTTGAAGTGCTGCGGGGGCTGACTAGGAGATTGCTGCTGTAGCTCAGGAGCCATGAGGTAAGGGCTTGCTTTGCTACTTGTGGCTGTGTGACGATATGGATTATAAGATTGCTGGGTGGCTTGGGGCGGTGGAGACATTGCCACATTAGGTGGAGGAGTGTGTGTGCCCATGGGCTTCTGGTAAACTGTATTGCCATATTGTTGAGTAGGATTCACCTGGGAAATTGGAGGGTTTGGGGGTAAGCTTGCAGCACTGGACACCGGGGAAGGACCTGTTGATGAAACAACTGCTGGTGTGGGAGGCAAGCCTTGCTGATGCCCTATTGAAGCAAACGGGTCACTATTGTTGGTAGAGCTAGAAAAGTAGCTGAATGTTGAGGGCTGAGGAGCAGTTGACGAGATCTGACCAAGAAAGCTGTCTTCTTCTCCAACTTCACTCGCATCATCTTCACAAGAAAAAGACGTGGAAAAAATCCAGTCATGGTGATCAGTGAAGAATTAATAATTATAACATTATACTGGACACAGAAATGAAGACAGGAGCAGGATGTAAACTAGACTATTGTCATTTCAACAACAGGATTTAACTATTATAGATAACATTATTTCGACGTTCAAACCAACACACTTTGTTAACACCTGCTAAACAAGGGCTGTGCGATCTAATATTAATGCAAAGCCTATTACTGTTTCAGAAGAGAATGACAGTTATTTTATGTTTCGATCCTGTGTTTTTCGATAGCGGAACTGTCCAGCTGATCTAGCTGACGGTTGGCTAGAACATAAACACTAACGTCGTTGTTGCTCATCAGCCTAAGTTAGCGAAAAAATATCTACATATAAACTCGTTATACTGACATAACAGTTCTAACAGTGCCTTACTGACGTGCTGACATGCTGTATGAAATCTGGTAAACCGGCTAGGTTAGCTAAGTCGAATGATTTAAAGGTTAGCTACCCAGCTAAGTTAGCTCACTCTGAACTGGAAACTGCTAACTAGCATCACTCTATTTCCACTTTAAGTACAACATCTTACCTCCAGATAAAACTGCCGGCCCACTTGCTTGACTGACAGGAATAAACGGCAGATTGAAGTGAAACTCTGGGGCTGTGGAAAACAGCAGATTGGCGCTGGTGCTCGGAACGGTACTTTTCCTTTCAGCCATTTTCACTTACTGTTACACGTCGCTCCCACCGTCCGTGTAGACGAGCAATAGATTTCAGTAACTAGCTAAGTGTTTCCGTGATCGTCAGGCAGGCGTAGCTCGGGCTTTTTTACAATCGCTAATATTCATTTCTTCCTCATTCTGTAAGTTTAGTGAATTCCAGCGGGGTGTTCGTCAATCCACATGCTATATGGATCTACATGATTAGGTCACTCTGTCGAGATGACGTTGCAGGCCAAAGCAATCGATCGCAAAACGAATTGAATGTGATCAAACGGTGTGACGGTGTGGCGGTGTTCGGCTTTAAAGGCCGTTTCCTGTGAGGCGCAACGATGATTAATAACAAGGATAGCAATTATTTCAATATTTTTTGGTATTGCAAATCAAAAGAAGCTGCTTTTGATTAGTTTTTGGTCTCTGTACAGTATGTAAGAACTATTTACAGACAGTGATGTTAAATTCTCAAGCAAATCAATAGCAATGATAACTCAGTATGCATATACTTTAGCATGCTACATATACATATATCATTTGTTTTCATATATCCAATGAATGTATGCGTAAATAAATTTGAAAATACATAAATAAGCTATTTTTTTAACATTTTAATCAACAAGAGAAAATATGTCTGAGAAACACTGGGCTCCCAGCTGGCAGAAGATGCTTCAACATGTGAACTGTGAATTTATTTTACAGCTTTATAATATGATCAGTAATCACAACAATAATCATACCAGTTTTTTTTTTTTTGCAATCTGTAAATCCAGCATGATGTGAAGAGCCCATATCTTTACTTTTTTGTATTTTTTTCCTGAGGTCCGTGGCATTTATGTGGTTTTATGCACATCAGCCGTCATAATTGATTTTTACATGAAAAGTTTCTAATTTCTGTTTGTCTATTTGAATTAAACGGGCTCTTTGTCACTGTGCACGTAAGACTGATATATGTAAATTACCTCAATTCTGATTGGCTGCCCTGCCCTCGTTAAAAACATTGACGTGCTGGGCGGAGCCAAAGGCTGTGGGCTAAATGAGCAGTTATATGTAAAAACGTTGGTTTTCATTACATTGTAAAACAAATTAATTTAAACCAGACTGCTTTTGCAGATTAGGTTTCTCTAAGGGACTGTATGTACTAGAGAGTGAACAGTATGTTTTAAAGTTTTACAGTAGGCTTATTTACTGTATTAGCTCTGTGCAAGGCCTTTAAGCTGTCTAGACAGATGCAGAGCTCGCGCTTGAGGTCACATGACGGCTGTTCGTGACGCAATTTTCCCGCCACCGTGAATTGTGTGGGGCAGGCGAGGGGAGCGAGTTTGCAAAAACGTGTTTGAAGTATATGCAAGCTGCATTATTAATAATATTCGATTACTTTTCATACTTTCTCAGAGACCTCCAGCTATGCCTTCGGTTCAGGATTGGATAAACAACCCACTGGGCGTCGTCGACGGGATTTTCGGTAAGAGGCGAAGTTTAACAGCAGCGCTTTTCCTCGGCAGTTTTCTCACTGTTTGAACTTGTGACTAACGTTAGCTAGCCTGGCCGCTGGCTAACCACCTAACTTACATGTTTTCATTGTAGTTACTATCGCATCACCGCGTGGTGACCTAAAGTGCATCGATTAACCTCGATTATTATTTGCTCATTGTTAAAAAACTTGAGTTATTTAATTCACATGAATAGCTCGCTGGCTGCATGTTATCCTATAGACCAATAGCAAGCATGCTACTCAGCTAACTGAGACATTTAGCTAGGTCTCGAACACAAAACGTTGCTGAGACAAGCTGCTGATGTGAGACATGGCTTGATAACTTATTTTTGTCTTTTCTCAGCCCAGAACAACTCCAGTCCAGAGTGGGAGAGGAAGGTGGTGGAGTATTTCAAAGAGAAACTGAAAGTAAACGACGCACAGTCGTGGGTAAGTGTCGAGTATTGATGTTGTTTAGGGGAGCAGCACATGATCCATCCTGTGAGGAAGAGCTGTTTCTTCTGTTTTCTTATCTTCTTTTAACAGTTTGCTGTCAAATATGTTTACCTTGCTGAACGTTACACTTTTATATTTGCAAATAGACAAACGTTGACGTGGCTGATTTGGCTAATAAAGGGATTTTAGTTTGCTTCAAAAGGTTGTAATAATGCTGTTTTGAAATGTTTAGGTTCCCTCCCTAAATGACGTTCCCCTGCACTATCTGAAGCCCAACAGCCTGGTGAAGTTCCGCTGTGTGATCCAGGATATGTTTGATCCAGAATTTTTCATGGGGGTTTATGAGACAGTTGATCCTTCAACAAATTCAAAAGTGAGTAAACACAGTTTGTCACCTTTCTGCCTGATTCATTTAAGGGTTTGCTTTGTTTCTATATTTCCTACTGTAGCACTCTCAACATAGCTTGTTGTCACCAGCGTTGGTTGTCTTCGGTCATCACACAGTTCCAGTGAAATTAAGTGTACTTTACTTTGTTTAAATAAAAATTAATTAAAAAATACTGCTTGCTTCTTTTCCATAGTCAGCTGGATATATACTGGAGCTGTTGCATGTATATATCTGAGTTTGCACTGGCTAATAAAGAAACTTTTTTTAGTTTGCTTCAAAATATTTTTGTTTTTTTTTGTTTTGTATGCAAGGTGATTGTAATAAGTTCCATCCCTAAATTGTTTCTTCTTTGTTAAAAGTACACATCGTAGGGTTTGATGAATTTGGCATAAAGGTATTATTGCATTATAAAATGTTAGATTTATAATTCTCTCAATGAAATATGATTGATTGTTAATTCTGGTTTCTTTAGCCAAACTGGGCACTGTACCTTTTTGGGCTGTTTATAATGAGCCTTTTTATATTCTGGAGCTCAAACTCTGTACACATAAAACAATCTAGCTCTACATTGAAAGTAAGAGGAAACTGGCTATTTAGGACAGTGAGAGATGCATAATTATTCTACATTTTAGTATAGGTGTAGCAGCAGCATTCAAAGACAGTGCAAGTGTACTTCCCTGACTCAAATTATTTACCTTATAAAGTTGAAAAAAAAAATACAATAAATTGGCTGATTGCCGATTTTGTGTTTAGAGCAGAAATCTTCTGATTCAGATTGTGCATTCCTAATTTCTTAAATTTTGTTTGTGTTGAATTTTTAGGTGTTGAGATGTGGCAAGTACAAAGACGTTACAGACTGTGGAGTGAGTGAACTTTTACAACATTTACAGATGGATTATTTTAACATGTTCACTCAGTGCAGTGATTAAATTAATATTACTGTAGATTTTGTGCTGCAAGTCTTTGTAATTAATTAATTAATTAAATGATTCTTTAATTTCAAGTCATTCTCATTTAATATTTTTTTATAATTTATTTAATACTTATTTTCAGAGAAAATAATCATTATACTTGTTTGCTGTAAATGGGTCTAACCTTTTGTATGACAGATCTCAAGTAATTTTTGAAAAAGTAGGATAACGTATGTTTTGTTACTCCCCATTCTTGATCATGAATTATTATGGGAACATGTTTGTGATTACAGCAGGTGGATTTCAACTCAAGAAACGCTGTTACTTCAGAGAGACAGACTTTCTATTGTGTCCCTATACCAGGAGAATCTCAGTGGGTGAAAGAAATATCCTTTCAGTGGACAGCTCTTAATCTGTGGAACATATTTATGGAGCATAATGTTAAATTTATCATTTATCGTATGAAAAATCTTTAACTGCTGAGAACAATTATGCCTGCTCCAGCCAAGCCCGAGTGGTGCCCTCCACATCTTACACCCCAAACAGGCACAAACGCAGTTACGAGGAAGATGATGAAATGGACACGCAGCCCCAGCAAGAGAATAAATCAAACTCTGGTAATAAGTTTTGATGATTTTTGTCAATTGTGCATTTAGTTTCTTCTTGGAGTTGTCAGTTAAATAGTTGCAGTGATCACAGGCATCATTGTGCCAGTTTGAATGTATAGCACGTTTCTTTCTTCTTTCTTTCTTCATTCTTCTCCTAGTAGGACTTCAGAACGTAGATTCCCATAGAAATGTGGACTCGAAACGGCTGGAAACAGAAGCTCCCAGTCAGAACACTTCACCTTCACACTGCTCATCTAACCTAGATCTCAACTTCCCTCTGCCTGGAGAGCGGGGCCCAGCCTGCCTGGTCAAGGTAGTTCACAGTTTGTTTTTGTTTCATAAATTATTGAAGATTAAACTGATCATCAAAATACAATAATGTATGGCCATGTAACACTACATGAAGAGACCCTTTTTTGCTTGCACTTGAGACAGTCTAGGGAAGTCTTGGCTCTGTTTTTTAGGCTTTCTCTGTAATTCTGGCAGGTGTATGAGGAGTGGGACGGCTTCAAGCTGAACGACATGCTGGAGGTCTTCGGCATTCTCTCCGTTGACCCTGCTCTGAGCCTGATAGCTGATGACAAGTAGGCTTCTTTTATTGAATAGTTTGAAGTGGCCAATATACCAGTGTTATTGTGATAAATTCTGAAACAGTACACTATTCTGAGTTTATTGTTGGGATCGGTACTTTTACTGTATAGAACAATTGCAAGTATGAGAGAGAGAGAGAGAGAGAGAGATTGAGAATGAGAATGTATATGTCTGTCAGCGGTAAACTACTAACACAATCCTAGAAACCATTCCACAATAATAGCACTCAAAGTTGAGTGGGACAGATCTAGCAGGGCAGAAATTTCACATTCTGACGTGTGGCAAAGGTGGCATCCTATGACAGTGCCTTGTTTGAAGTCACTGAGCTAGTCAATACAACCCGTTTCACTGCCAGTGACTGTCTATGTAGATTGTATATATGCCTCACGAGAGTTTGGGCAACACACCCTAATTACATGTTTTGTTCATTTTCTAAGTAAAACTGAGTTAACAAATTTTCTGCAGATAATACACTTCTGCACTTTTTAATATACAGTTACTGTTTATTTGCTACGTTTAACATGACAGAGAAACTTGTTCATGCATTTGTTACAAGCAGACTTGACTACTGTAATGCTCTTCTTGCTGGCCTTCCTAAGAAAACTATACATCCCTTACAACTCGCACAAAATGCAGCAGCGCACATCCTAACAAAAACAAAAGAGCTCATACCACTCCTGTTTTAAAAGAACTGCACTGCTTACCTGTATCACTCAGGATAGATTTTAAAGTTTTGCTTCTAGTTTTTAAAGCTCAGAATGACCTTAAAGCTCCTCTTACATCACAGAGTGTCTGTCTGTTTATGTTCCGGCACGTAATCTAAGATCTGCAGATAGTGGCCTTCTACAAATACCCTCTGTAAAATACAGAAAACATGGAGAGGCCTCTTTCAGTTATTATACTCAATTCCACCTTTTATTAGACAGTCAAGCTCAGTGCTCACTTTTAAGAAGCATCTAAAAATCTCTTTAACTTGGCGTTTAATTAAAACTCTACATCTTATGGTATTTATCTTCTAATTTGATCTGTTTCATTTTCTTCTTATTCTAAATAAATACTAATGATTTCTTGTTTGACTATGTTTTATCACCTGTCTGTAAAGCACTTTGAGCTGCCGCCGGCATGAAAAGTGTTAAATAAATGAATTATTATTATTATTATTATTACCATTATGAAAACAAACAATTGTTGTGGAAAAGGTGTCATATTTTAGATTTTGTTTCTTTCCAGTAAATACTTAGAAACTGTGCACTAAAATTTGCAGAAAAATGCCATGTTTAAGTTCTCTGTAGCAAATGTGTTAACTTCAAGTTAAAATATACTTCGACTGGGGGTGTTCAAACGTTTGTATATGACTGAAAATGTCTTCAAGCGTCATGTTATATTATTGATATTACCAACCCCCCCCCCCAACCTTAGTTGTGTTTTAGAAGTTGCCATTTATTACTTTTTTTAAGAGAAACGTTTGTCTGAAAGAAGATCTTTTTGTTTGCAGAGAAGCATCATCTCTGCTAGACCCGACAGAGAGCATGGAGACTGTGGAGGAGCAGAGAGCCCACAGTCCACCTGCATCACTCGTACCTAGAATACACATGTTGTACGCCCAGCCACTGCAGCACAACAATCCACTACTGCCCTCTGCTGTTTCAGAGGACAAGGGAGCCTGTAGGTATATTGTAATTCACATGTGTATATTCTCGGTATAGAACATAACTGCAGGATTTGTCACGTGTCGGTCTGTATGTGTGTCTGTCCTCAGTTTTAAGTGGCGTCCTGAGTGAGTTGACATCAGTCAGAGCGGAGCTGCTCACTTACCTCACACACATCTTTCTGGGAGACTCGCTGGCTGCAGAGTATCTAATTCTCCATCTCATCTCCAGCGTGTGAGTGGATCCTAAGAACCTTGGTGGTCCTTTATCTAATGATTACACCACAAATAATTCTCCTTAATTTATCATTCCCCCACCAGAAAATATTTAGACGGTAGTACATGAAAAGATGCATGTAGTGTGGTATGGTAGACATACGGTTTCCTCTGTTCAGTAGCACCTGTGTTCCTTTGACTCTGTGTTGAGGATATTAACTACAGTAAATTGATTTTAGCCATTGTTTCATTGTGCGCTAGCTGTATACAGGAGTCATTTGTCATTAAGACCAATAGGCGTAGTGAACCGCAAATATGTTTCGTGCATTGTTGGGCAAGGTTTCATAACACTTGTCACGTGGGTAATATTGTTTGTATATAAACAGAACAAGGACATAATGTTAATATACTGCCTCACACTGAATGCTCAACTCCTTTTGGGTGCTCTTGTAGGTATGCCAGACGAGATGTTCTTCCTTTGGGCAAATTTACACTTAATGTCAGTGGCTGCCCCCACAGCTCTCCATACACAGACCAGCTCTACCAAATCATCCAGCAGCTTGTACCATCTGTGAGTGCACTACAGTCATTTCTCTGTAGATAACTTATTTCCCTCAAGCACAGAAATAAGTTATGTGTGTTATTGCCTTTTAACTAGTCATACCGGATATGTATGAGTCTCCAAAACATGAACAATCAGCGCATGGTGCCCAGAAAAGACTACACAGCCAACCGGCTGGTGAGTGGGACTCTCCAGCTGGCCAGCAACACTTCTCTGTTTTTGGATGAGACGCAGCTTGAGCAAGGCCAACTGGACACTACAGGTGAGAGCAACGTGCCACAGAATTGGTCATTTCATTGTAAAAATTCAGGTGCCAGCATCATCTTTTAAAAACACAGGTGATCTTGTTAAAAATAAAGACAGATGAGTTTAAATCTGCCTGTCATATCTAAGTCCTAGTAACAAAAACATTTAAATAGAAATTACTGTTAAACTATTATATTGTTAAGTTTACAGGATTTAAATACATTTTTCTTTTGCTCATTTGGAAGTGACACAGCATCCTGCCGATAGTTAGAAATTCTGCACTGTCTCTTTGGGAGTGCTCTTGCATCTTTGCAATGGATGTTCATAATGTTAAAGTTCTGGGATTTTTGCCCAATTAATATGGATAAAGTCTGGCAAAGTTGTAACGTAACAATTGTATCTACTTTCATTTACTCCAAGTGCATCAGTTACACTGGAGGGTTAAATCACTTTAGGCTTTACTAAAGACATTTGATAAAAGGTCATCTATGAAGTCCAAAATGTCTAATACATTTGCTCTATAGGGAAGTAAACTGTGTCAAAATTTAAGCTGTTCATGTTTACACATTACGGAACTAACGTTCTGTTTGTGTGTGTGCTTGCTGTCAGCATGGGAGCATGTCGTGTGCTAACAAAGCATAGCAGCAGTATGACTGGGTTAAGAAACAGGATCAACATTAAATTTTATTGTATTATTTTAAGCACTGCAGTAAAGGATTATAGTATATGAACTGTTGTATTATTTTAAGCACTCTGGAAGCAAAAGGGAGATTTCCACAGAGTAGTGGAACTTCCTGTGCACGCTTCAGTTTGGTTGCTGATACTGCAGGACTTTTGACAAAACACAGCAGTGTCGCTTTACATGAGACAGTAATACTGGTATTTGTAACCATACCTCATGTTTCTAACAGTCGCCTTTTCTGCAAATGTATTTTTGTGTATTGTCAAAAGCTACAGGCATACTGACCAATGGGTATGATGAGACGCAATATGTTTCAAACAATCATATAACTAGTTTGAAAACAAATGACCATGCATCTGTCTTTAAAAGACAGAGCTATGTATTTATTGTATAACTCATACCTTATTTCTACTGACAAGAACTGCCGAAAACTTAACCATTAACCATTACCATTGCATTTTCTTGTTTTAATTTTGTCTTCAGCTGGAAGCAGTAGATGTTGAACAGCCTGCTTCATTAGCTCAATGGGCAGCTTCACATACTTCCACTTAGTATTCATTGTGTATGCTATATGAAGACCTGTGCATCTCTTTGGTGTAGGCGTGCGGAACATCACAGCGCTGGGGAACTTGATCTCCTGGCAGAAGGTTGATTACGACTTCAACTACCACCAGATGGAATTCCCCTGCAATATTAACGTGCTCATCGCGTCCGAGGGCCGCTCGCTCCTCCCGGTAAGGACAGCATGCCTACATCTTTCTTTCTCCCACACTCACACTTTCAGACACTAGAGGGCAAATTGTAAGGGAGGTGTGCTCTATTCCAGTTGAGTGCGAGTGTTTTGGGTTTCAGTGGCGCTCTCATGAGACTGGCATGTGCGTTGCCGGTTGTTTCCATTGGGCCATTGAAGAGACAGCCTGATATTACTGTTACGAGCCACAGAGGCCTTGTCAGCTCCCTGGCTGGGCACTCGGCACAGCCTCACTCTGATGCTAAGAACCTGTGGAATGTGCTGTGCTATTTCTGTGCTATTTCTGTGTGTTGGCTCATGTGTTACCATAGCTGCAGCTGCACTACAAGGACATAAGACAGACAGGCCAGTTCAGACCATCTATTTAATAACAAAGAAATGGCAAACCACCACCTAATACTACACTTTGAAAAGACCATTAATATCAAGGCAAACTAACATATTTTTAGGCTAATTTTAAACAGTTGGAACAATTTTGGCTCCAGTTTTGTCCCGGTGGGAGTTACCACAGGATTTTTTTTAGCCTCAGGAATTTACAAGGAAAGTTTGGCTTTAATTTGTTTGTAACTTAAAAAAAACAGCTATCCTCTGCCTTTGTAGTCTGACTGTCAGGTGCATCTCCGGCCCGCTTTGAGCCCACCCAACTTGGAGGAGTACCTGAAGACAGTACAGCAAGCCCAGGCTCCATCTCAGCTCAACAAGTATCGTGTGTACCTCACAGTAGCCCGCTCATTGGATTACAACATCTCTGACCAGATCACTAAGGTCAGCAATTGTGATCGTAGAGTGTTTATCTTACTGGCTGCATGTGTTTATTTTTACATTTTGTTTGTTCTGGTAACCAGTTTGGGTACAGTGTGTGTTATCTGCAAGTTAACTGGAGGTCAAGTGTTTATATAAATGCTTCACTCAAAATGCTAATATTGCTAATACATAATAGTCTGCACCTCTTGTTATAACTTACATAATTCCCTGATAGGCAGTAGAGGAGGACTTTGTTGAAATGCGTAAGGATGACCCTCAGAGTGTCTCTGCTGAGGACCTGCATAGGATGCTGATAGTTGCACGGTGAGTTTCATCTCCTTACTGTACATTGTTTCCATTGTTAATTCAGCAATTCTGACTGTTACTCAATTAACATGTATTTAAATACCTGTCCTTCTGCTTTCAGATTACTGTCTTTAAGTTATGGGCAGACAAGTCTTTCAAGAGAGAACTGGATTAAAGCCAAGCAAATGGAGATGATGCGGATTAGCCGAACACAGCAGCAGAAATGTGTGAACGGCAATGAGCCTTAAACTAGTCATATCTTTTCAAGTAAGGCTTGCAGATTTGTTAACTTCATTGTGGATTACAGTTAATGTTTTCCTGTTAAATAAGGTAGTGATTTTTTTTCTTTGTACAGCACTGAGGTTTTCTTTTTTACTTGACCCTTTTAAAGGTCTGAGAATGCAGAAAAGGAAATAAATTGGTATTTTTGAAAATATTTTGATAAATCTTGAAATGTTATGTACAAATAACCCAAAAAAGTCCTTGAAGCAAAAGTTATTAACATTCTAACTCAATGTTTTGGACAAGTAGGACAAATAAAAAAAAGTTGATTTGCTTAAAAAAAAAAAGTGTACTTCTCATTTCTGGATGTCTCACAGTTTGGGCTAGCCAGATACACCCTTAACGCAACAAAGACTTGTGCGTTCCAACCACATTCCAGCACTAAGGCAGTGTCTCTCTGTCTGCCCAGAATTTCAGCATGTGTTAGGATGAGTACTGCACCTCTCATAGAGAAGCTGAATGTGTGGAATGTACTATAATGCAGCTCTGAGGGGGATCTCCTGCTGTATGGAAGAGTGAAGTGGCATTTAAACTCTCAAGTTCCGAAAGACTCTTCTGCCATATGGCAGTGTGGAGAAAACCCTCAACGGCTGCACTGTTCAGTTTTTTGTACTGGTTTGCAAGACCACATTTATTGTGTCACTGTACCGTGTAATTAAATAAATCTCCAGAATAATTCAGCCGTATCTGACCTGGCTTCTACAGCAATGTATAATTTCCTGAATAGCCAAAAGCATGTTCTCTTGCTTGGATTATTCCATTGTCTTTTCTTTAGGGACCCCTTTTATTGCAGTTGCTCTGTCACTCTTTAAGACACTGGTTCTCAACCCCATGCACTCAACATGTGTGTCTTCCTAATAAACCATTATGCTGGCACATCTGAGAAAGAAGAACATTACACTGTAGGTGTGCCTTATGTTCTAAAAAGAAATAATGCAAAACTTTTGTAAAAACCTAGGGGAATAAATACATTTGAAAGAATATCACTATTTGTGTCTAGAACCTATAAAGGACCCATGTACAAATCCACATCATCCAAAATAAATTTCCTTTGAATTATTTACTTAAAGAGCCTCCCAGATATGTCCCATAACATAAAATACAGCAGTTTTACACAGTTGTTAATGTTATTAGCAAACACAGGGAATTAAGACTATGAAGGTTTTAGAATAAATAGGCTATTATACAATAAAATTCTGGAAACATTAGATGGAAACATCTCACAAACTTGTGTGGAAGAGGTCACCATTCACACAGACATGGGAAGATACTGGAAAGTGTGCTTAAATGCTGTGCAATAAATACACTTAACACTACATGATTGAAAACATTTTCAGAGAGAAAAAAACAATATTTCAGTATATCAGACATGTCAGTTAAGTGATGATGGCAAATAAAATGAGGTTTCAAAAGCACTTTGTGTCAAATAATTGTCCTTTTTCAACTTCAACTTTGGGGAAGAAAACAAGGAAAGGTGCAAGTCCTTATGCATAGAAAAAAACAATAAATGAAATACATACAAGAAAAAAGGGGAGGGGGGGGCTGAACACCTACAGCAAGAGGAATGTTTACTTACACAGTAAAGTTCCTTGGAAGATTTTAAATGTATGTACCACTTCCTTGTATGAATGTTCTAGAATAACCTTCAGTCCAGTGCATGCCATCTCAAACACTTAAAAAAGGAACTCAACCTACAACCCAAACCCATTTACCCAACATACATATAATCAAAATGGCATTATAACCACGTTAAAAAGTTTAAACTGTGCCGATGTCAGCAGACAGCAGAATGAAGTACCAGCTCTCAGGTATTATGGAAGCGAGGAGTAGATTAAGTTTACTTACACAGTAAGTAAAAGAATATATGAATAATAAGCCTCATGGAGCAACTGAGCAGAAAACAAAAAAAAAATCAGTTTAAAATATGTGGTTCATAAGAAAGAGACCCTTCCAGCCTCCTGTGAAATATTGGTGTCTCAGGCTTGAGATGACCATGAAGCAGGCTCCTTGATCAAGTGAACCTCATGTCTCGTATATTCCTGGCTAATTTTTGGTTCCAAGTTTACATATAAACCCAGATTGCGCTATGCTACATGGCAAAGGAATGCAATAAATCAGGATTAATGGGTTATCTAATTGTAAGCTACCGTTAGGTTCACCTCCAATGATTCAGTTTTATAAGGGAGCAATATAGCTGAGCAAAGCAAAATTACCAGTGATGGTTTTTATGTTGTACAGGAGGCTGGCCTTTAAGGCAAAATGTATTCTTAGTCTTTTAAGTCATCATGGCCTTCTTTGGGCTATAAAGCCTATTGACTAAGAGGCAGTATTTACTGTGAATGATCACATGCAACATACTAGCCTCTTCTAATACATGTCATACTAAAGCCAATGATTATCAAACTTTATAACATAACCTCCTTTATCAAGTCAATAAATGCATCATTAAAGTGGCATGACAGTTAAGTATGGTACTTTTAAGCTGAAGTATCTCAAATAGTTCTCACTCACTTAAGTTCATATCAACAAAAGCACTATAATGGTCAGATCTCAAGCCTGAGCATCAAAATATCAATGAACATATTATTGACGTGGCATAAATCTGAATTTACTACACCACAAACACAGCAAAATATAACCTGAATGAAAACAGTTATCGACATTTAATATGAAGGTAGATTTGTCAAAAATACCTGCACTTAATATTCTGATAAGGCTTACTCTTGATACTTAAGAGTGCAAAAAGCATTTTACAGTGTTTTTTTATGTTTGGCCAGGGTTCCTTGCATCTGACCTGCATCAAATACCTCCTTAAGAAGTTATGGTATTGTTGAGTATATTCATATATACATCCAGTTACTTATTTTTGATTCAATTTCCATGTTTAAATGCAAAAATGTATTTATCACAGAAATACTAAGGCAAGCATTTGATGCAGGTCTTTTTTGCAGATAGACTTTACCCCTTTGGATGAACAGAACATTTTACACAAGGACATTTTAAGACACTGACCACTTTCCATTACCCTAATGCATTTCTAGGAAAAAATAAACAGGTCACTTGTACAATCTAGAAATAAAATGTATTTAATAAATATAGTTTCCCCACTTAATGCAATGTGATAAGAAGGTTAAAGGTACAATAAGTAATAGTTTTGCAATTTTCTTAAGTCACAAGTTGCTATGTTGCTGATGGTTACATCTTTTGTCAAACAGGAATTGAAGTTAGCACGATGTAGCGTATTTAGCACTGCACAATTTCACCTAAACCATGGTAGAAAAGAAAGGCAGTTTTCCAGCTCGTAAACTGATTTAAGCCTTCACGTTGCATCTACCATTCCACTTCATACTTACTACCAACAAATAGCGGCTCGTCTTAATTGTTAGTCAAGTTTTAACGGAATTTCTACTCATTGTACCTTTAAGCACGATATTTCTAATTCAACCGCTAATGCATAAAGAAATGTCAGTAACGACTCTGAGGTGTTTCAAGTGTCTATCTGAAGTGGCGTTTTTCTCATTTATCACGATAAACAAACTTACGTAAATATATTTCCTCTGTCTAAATATATTAAATGGAGGGTTCAACTTCAGAAGACTCAGTATACAGTACTTTTATAATATGCTAATTACATACTGGACAGTATTATTTAACCAGAGATTATAAATGTATTCTGTAGCTACTTTGGTACATTTCTATTAACATACACCACAACAAAGATATTTCTTTAACTATATGTGACTTTATGTTTACTTTCCTCTTTTTCTGCTATCTATTACTGAGCTGCCCATTGAATAGATATTAGAATCCGGCTATTTTACTACAGGTTTTAGCTACGGCTACAACACTCAATTTATGCAAAGAACTCTACTGCACAGCAGGTGTCGCACGTGACAATATTAGGTCTTGTCTCTTGACATGCAATAAAACCTCCTTATCTCAATCTACTCAAGACCAACCAGTTTCTCAACATGCAAAACCAGTAATGTAAAGTAATGAATATTAAGGATTTTATAAGGGCACAGTCAGGTTCAGCTTAGGTGTACTATACACTACACAACACTAGCTGTAAACATCAGTTAGATTAACTAGTGGAGAAATAAGGAGTAAGGATGTTAGTTGACTCTGTACACATACTGTGCAAGCTTATGCTACTGCTACTGTGCTGGAAGTCACATTCTACACTAAAGATACATCTGCATGAGGCCAAACAAACATTCTATATCTGAATGATTCTAGTCTGGCACTGTGTAAACATCGCTCGCAACTCGCTCTCTTGGACTTCATTGACAGCTTCTGGCTCTGGACTTTTCTGAACTTTTGCCACAGCAAAGCTGATACCTTGTGTGAGTCCTGCCTGGGTCATGCTAGCCACCTGCACCATGGAGCTCTTGATCTTAGCAAAGGGAGATACAACACGACTTCCATTGCTTTCTGCTGGGGAAGGCCCTAGACTGCCTTCCACATGGGAGCTAAGGCTCTTCTGTGAGCCGCCTGATGCAGCAGAGCCTGGTGGGTGGACAGTGAGGAGGTTTCCCCCTGGAACTGAAGGCTCTACATCAAGTTGAGACGGACGAGGGAGTTGCTGCTGCTGGGAGGCTGAGCCTGAATCTGGCTTTGAGCCTGACGTCGACGCAGGACCCTGAGATGCCAGTGGGTTTGGTGGCAGTACCGGACGTTCCTCAAACACTTCTATTGGTTTGATCTGGGCATCTTGGACAAACTGCTGACAGTAAGCATCGATAGGTGTCCCAAAGTCAATCAAAATGGCTTCCTCTGCTTCTGAGGCTGCCCCTGGGGATTGGGCGTTTGGTCCAACCGATAAACTGTCCTCTACTTTGTTCTCACAGCCAGTGACACGAATAACAGAGGGCACAGCAAGTTCAACACTTCCAATGGACTGAGAGCGGCTGCCAAGTCGAGGTGCAGATGCCACAATTCCACAGCTGGGGAGCACATAGTCTATGTTTTCCAGGGAGCCTGAGCATGGCTGCTCATCTGAGTTATAAGAGTCAGAGTCAGAGGTGTGCCCCGCATCTGAACGGTCATCACAAAGGTTCTTATGGCTACTGAGCCTGTGTTTCCATCAGAAGTCTCTAAACTACTGTCTGATTTCCAGAGGTTCACACGCATGTTGGGCTTTAAGAAGTTCACTTTTACCTCTGGCTTGGAAAAGGTACCTAGTCGACCAAGAGGCTTGAAGTTTCCAATGTTGACATTAGTTTTTGTCTGCTTTACTTTCTGATTTAAGGATGAGAACTTGTTCATGAGGAAACTTTTGCCCTGAGCCAAACCTGAGCCAAGAATTTGCTCAGTGGCTTTTCCTTGTATGCCCATGATGTCCTCGTGCGGCTTACTGTGCTTCCTAAAAAAATGAAAAGCAAAAGTACAAGTGAAGAAGTTGTCAGACTGCTGTTGGCATTATTCCAGAACTGTTAGATGAAGAAAATCTGCTTACCTTTCCAACTTCTTCTCTATGACTGGCAGGTCAGGTCCCATAGCTTGTTTTGTTATGCGAAGCATTTCTGCTATGCATTGCAGTGTGTCTGAAATATAAATAAACATATCATTCTATCTAATTCATCTCAGAAAATAAATAATTATTACAAACACAATCACAACATATGTAATTGTGCCAAACATCTAAATTAAGGTACAATCTAAATCGAAACACAAGCCAGGAACACTTCATAGTCTTGTACCTTTTCCATCATCCTCTGGGTTCCGTGTGACAGCTCTCAGGGTGTGGAAGTAACCACTCGTCTCCTCATTTTTGTAATGCAATCGCATGCAGCAGTATTTGGGTTTGCCAAACAGAGTGGGCTCTGGCCCTAAAGAAAAAAACATCACAATACCATAACATCAGTGGAATGACTAAATCATGATTAAATACCACCACTGGTCCCTTTGACTCCACACAGAAAACACAGAACTACCTACCTATTTCAATCTTTTCCAAACCCTCTAAACTGAGGCGCTGGTACTGATTAACTCTATCTGCTTCCTCGTCATAGCTGAAATGAAAAAAAGACATGTAAGGTATGCAAGAAAAGATTCTTTGTCAAATATAAATTTATACAAAATTAAATATATATATATATATAAAAGAGATCATTTAGGCACTTACTAAGCAACATAATATGCACAGTTGGACAGCAGTAAAAGAACATCCACATCTTTGTGCGTTGCATCAATAAGACTATTTAGAACCAAGACAAAAAGAATAGTGTAAAGGGAAAATCATATTGCATGTTTCATCACAATTAAATGTATTTCATAAATTGCCATTCAATACCAGAAGAACCAACTGGAAGTTAATATGACCACATTCTGACCTGAGAAACATTTCACACAAATGGATATACTGTGGTAAACTGTGTGTGAAAACTCAATTTAATAAGAATCTCATGTCATAATATGGTTTGACCATGAGCACAGATCAAATTCCAACCACCCTGGCCAGCAGCTGTTAAGCTTACAAAGTGATTTAGCATTTAACATCATTAAGACCACTTAGATGCTCAAAGATTCAAGGAAACTCCCTCACCCAAGACAGTTGTTAAAAGACCATAAATACTGGAAATACATTTATACAAGTACCTGTGTGCCCTTGACAATAAACTGAAAGAGGAAGAGTACACAAAATGTATTTACATTGGCATTCAGTAAAGATCTGATTCCTCCAGGGTCTCATTTTGGTCAAAGTTATTTACAAACAAACTGATTTTTTTCTATTAGCAAGTTTGCAAGTGTGTTTGCAAATAGTGAGGTTTTAACAAAAACAAGATATAAACCCTAGCTCTGTCTCTTTTGCAGAACACCCACCTAACTCTAGTTGTCTACTGTACAATTTTTCCAATACACGGTCAGGCCAAGTATGAACAAAAAGTAAAGATTCTCAAAGTGGACCAGTCTTACCTGGGGTCACAGTCAATGAGAGCCCAGCCACCATGGAACTTCTCATCATCTGGCAGCAGGAGCTGCATGTATGTCTGTAGAAGGAGGCTGACCTGCTCCTGTGCTCCCCTCTGACTCTCCTTCTCTTTCTCCTCATGCTCCTTCTCTTTGCTAAAGATGGAATACAAGTCTTCTGTCACAGGGAGACCCATCATGAGGTCTGCAGACAAAAAGGAAAAAACAACAACTGACTAAATCAGAAATGAATAAGCATAGTATTGTTCAATAGGGACATTCAGCAAAGGCAGCCAAGCTAGGTGTAATTTTTATACTCACCGATGACAGCCTGTCTGTATGCATCACGGAAGCGGTTCAGATAGTAACGATTAGCTGAGTTCACACCATCTTTCATCACTCCAGCCAGTTTTCGCTCTCCTGTCCGTGTGAAATCCCCCTACACAGAAATTTTAACAGCGGAATGACTTCACACAAATAAGCTACCAACAATTAGTCATTGCTAGTTTCATAAAGTAATGGAAAGTAATGCAAAAAGTAAACTACAATACCATAAACATCTGAATTAGATTATTGCTGAAATATTAAATAAAATTTAAATTTAATACAAAACCACAATGAAAAAAATGTTAACTTCACAAACGAGGCAATGCTACGCTGTAGTCAAGTCACATTTCTATGAAAAAAGACAAGGCAAATGAAAAAGAGCTTTGTTTTTACATCAAGCCAGCCACACAACTGCTACTGTCAGGGTAGACAACATGGCTTTTGTGCAGTTTGTAAAAGTAACTGCATCAATTTCATTTGTATTATTTACATTATATAGACAGATTATACTGAATGGCATCCAGTTGACCCTGTAAATTACCTTTAGGGCAGCTGTACCAGCATACTGGCGGCTGATTGTGTCACCGTTATTAGCCCACATCACCTGGTAGATCCTATAACATTTGAGGGGCAGTGGCTGTTCAGGGGGCATCACCCCCAATTTCTTCAACTAGAACAAGAGCAAAGTACTTTCATGTTGAGTAACAAAGTTCAGTACAATCACCAGCACAACTTTGCACATTATGGCAGTTAATCTAGGACTTAGATAGGGCTCATAAAAGCTTCATAATACAGTGGTAGTTTTGCATACCTGCTTTTCCATGACCACACGAGCGATAGCAGCTTGAACTACGTTGGTCCTGTCTAGGCAATCCATGCAGTTGACCCGGAAAATGCCATCTTGAGTACAGATGACTCCTGCTTGGTCCACCCTATTAGCAGTACACAATGCTGTGCTTAATCTGCTTAGTGGTTAACATATTAAAACACTCTACATCTTTTAAGAGGTAGATACAGTGATCCATGCAAGTGGATTTTAACGTGTTAAGCCTGAGTACCCACCAGCCCCAGCGCATATCTGTGATGATGTCAGAGATGGCGTCAGTGAGTGTCTGCACATTCTCAAACTTCATTCCTCGGCTGAGGAAAAAGAAGACACATTACTGTCCCACATTCCTGCGCTCCTTTATTTAAACAAATGCATTAAAGGAGATCTTCAGCTGAAGACCATTTTACTCTGTTCCAGAGTACTCAACAATGTATTAAGTGAACCAAAGACATGTCTAAATACTGCTGTTCTCGGTAGAAATCAGAAAGCCAGTAAATTTCATCATTATCAACAGAACAATGGCAGGAACAGAACAAAACACTAGCAAAGCTGACAAATACTCAACTACTGAATGTAGCAAACTCTGAAACTGATATTCACTTTATACTTAGAGTGAAATGATAAGATTGCTCAAATCTGTTACATACTGTTGTGTTTTTATACAGGTTTATTTTATTGGCATGCTATACTTTTTTACTTTTTCCTTTATTTTAATCATTATATTTTAAGATCCTATTAAAGTATTTATATATATATATATATATATATATATATATATATATATATATATTTGTGGGATACTCTTTCTTCATATGCCATGGTCAAATGCAGTACAGCAGTGTTCTCACCAATGCTCATGGAAATCAAATGAGACGTATGTTAAGTTGGGATTGTTGTAGAGCAGCACTTGTTTAAGGTATGCATCACCAATCAGTTTCTCGCGCCCATTCTGGTCCACTAGATTGATGATGACCTGATGAAATAAATAGAGTTACATATCATTGTAAGTGTTTACCAATGCTTACTTACCCGTCCATAACATAGGTCAGATGTGACATTTACTCTCTGAATTCAAACAACAAAAACTGAAAAAAATGGTCTGAGGGTTCACTGTCACTTAAACTTACACATCAAAACAACAGCCTGAAAAAACATTCACATTTTGCTTAATAAAGGAATAAAATGGTTTTGCTAAGAATAAGTGTATAATAAATAAGGAAACTCAGAGAATTACTTTATCCTCACTCCTTACAACCACTTACAACAATACCATTATATTTTGGCCAAGCTTACCTGCTTCTTATAAATCTTAAGTTGCTGATCAAAGTGCAGAGCAAAATATGGAATTGTTTCTTTCTCTCCTGCAAAACAAATATCACAAAAATGGCTTAAGGGTTAACAAAGGGTTAAAAAAAACCCAAAGCAGAGTAACTGCTTTCGTCAACAGTGATGCTACAAAAATAGCCTCTCTACATCTCACTGCGGTCACACAAAAATAGCCACTCTACATCTTACTGTGGCCACAAATAAAGAGCTGACACTCTTAAATAAATCTGAAGTGTTCTGCTCATTTGACTTATGAAGCCATATAGTTATAGAAGGCCTGTCCTTGTCTTTCTCTGTTTCAGACTTTGTTTTCTTTGCCATGTGCTTATGTTGTTGTTTCGGTCTTTGCCTCATCCCTGGTCCTGCCTTGTTCTTATCTGTCTTACCTGTCTGTTGTCTGTAGTCTGTTCCACATGTATCAATACCCCTGCTTGTGTGCTTTGTGTTTGCTTCTCTCAGGCCCTGTTTTGGTTTCCTCTCATTAGTTTTCTATTTTCTTCATGTCCATCTGTCTTTGGTTTTCTTTATGTTTCAGTTTGTTCAGAGTGTTCTGTCATCCTGCCTCTTCGTCTCTCCCAACATTACAACAGATTTCTCCATAGTCTTTTTCACGATAAGGCTAGTGACTTGAATTGCCAAACCCTACCTTTCTCTAGACGAGGTCTGGGATTGTAGCGGTACCCAGCTTGGCTCCAAAACACAGGGACAGACCCTCGTGTCTGCACAAATGACAGCGTGTGACTATGCACGTGGATTAGCTGCTCTGTCTCCACATAGTTGGCCACATGTCCTTCAGCATCCACTCCTCTGCGTTTGTAGCGCATGCCTTTAATGGGAAAGGTCAGATTACTCATGATCACCTTACAGTCCTAGACAATCAAGAACCCCAAGTCTTAAAACACAGTTAAACCTTTTTTTACCAGCACGGTGGCGGCTCCGTCTAGAAATGAGCGCCACTGTGAAGCGGGGGTGGATGTCATCCACACAGGTGTGCTCCTGCGGTGGAGTGTCAGGGCTGCTCCTCTCCTCATCTGAACTTTCATTATAGTTCACCACCAGCTCCTCCACTTGTACAAAGCCCTGGATTATGGGGATTACCCAGAAGTCTACCTGAGAAACCTGCAAAACAGTACATTCAAAGATTGGCTATCTATTGTTCACAGTCAAGGACTGATTAAATATAGTTAAAAGTTAACAGGCATACATTTAAATGTGACATTTCTCACCTGCAGGTCAATTAGGTCCTGTATCATGTATTTGTTCCAGAAGAATCTGTCATCCACCTACAGAAAAAGTAAAAATATCATCATCCTTCAGTAGAAAAAACAATCCTGTTCTAGACTCAAATATGTGTTTTTAGTAGTTACTAGGGCACTAATTACTGACAGTCTACCGACACTTTGCACTTGTGGAAGTGGCCAGTTTAGCATCTTATCAAGGAAGAACTTTCATGCAAATGAACACATACCCAATTGACATATGATCAGCGCAAAGTAACAATGTGCTGGCTCACAGGCTTTCTGTAGACATGTATAAAAGCCCTTTCTGATAAGTTAGGGAATTTTTTTTATCTTTCTCTGATGCTGGTTCAAACTGTGACTGACCGGGTTAAAATCATGACTTAAGTCAAAATTATGAGTTAGGCCAAAAAATTTAGTTATTGTTTGATAAGAAAGCATGTGATTATTTCAACATAATTTATTATTCACGCAAAACCTGCTCTTTAGACACTTTGTTGAGTGCTGTAAAATGTACCCAAAGGAAATAATAGTTAAACATTAGTAAAACATTGTTTTTCTAAAATTATTTGTTTTTGGGGTTTTTATTTCCTTCATCAAATGGAAGGGAATCACAATTTCTTCAAAAATAAACAAATGTGTCTTTTCTCTGTCTCTAAGCACAAACAATGGCAGCCATGTTAGCAGCAAAAATAAGACAAGCATTAAGCACAGGCATTAAATAGCACACAGTCAGTATTTACTCCCAGCTTTGGTAAAAACAAGTATGTAATTCATTATAACAATATAACATTAAAATGATTTTTACATAAATGAAATACTCCACCTTTTAATGATTCTGCAAAAGTTTAACATTACACACTGGTCTCCACCATAACCTCAAGTAGCTTGAAACTAAGATATACTTCCATGCTAGTTGGGTACATCGTATCGGTACTCCTTCCACCACTGCTTTACAAAACATCCTGTTGTTCTCTGGTATAGAGCTTCACCTCACCTGTCTCCACAGTGGCAGATCTGACTTCTCTAATGCTCCCTGTCTCTGGACGCTATTTGTAAGGTCATAGGTGGGGCTGTAGTAAAAGGAATCAGAGTCCATGAATATCTTATACAACTCATCAAGCAGTCTCTTTTCCAGTCGTTCCTTTTCTTTATTCTCTTTGACCTGAAAAACAAACAGATGAAAGTGAAGTTCCTGTAATACTAATACAAACATTACCACCAGCACGTTTTCTACAAATTAACTAATTAAATAACTGACCTTAGTTTAGTATAAAGGTGTTTATGAATGGAGTACTTAGCTACCAACCTTTTTCTTGATGGGAACAGCAACATTAGACTTGATTTGACTCAAAGTCTTCAACAGGAACTTGGAGTCCTCTGGAGACTGAGTGATTTTCTCTGGTTTATTTATCCCAAAGTGGTGCTTCTTGCAAAGCTAAAAGGGAATAAAAAGAGAAACAGAAGTAAAACCATGCTGACAGCACGTGTATCAGTAAAACTGACATATGGATTATTCTACCGAACTGGGTTGAAGTCAGAGTTCAAACCGATTTTGGACTTTAGGCTAAAATCCCTTTTCTTCAAGTAACTATAAGTCTTATTTTTGTTTATTTCATTAAAATAAATTATTAAACATTCAATTCTGTCCCTACCAAAGCAACCATAACACTACTGAAACCTTATCAAATGTTTCGACAGTGACTGTTCTAGTAATGAAAATTTTAGCTAATTTTGAGAGTAACCCAGTATATGACAAATGCAGCTTTGAACAGTTGTACACACATAAAATCATAATGTTTTTTATTAAAACACAAAAAGTTAATTAAACTGCAGAAAATGTGTGTTTCAGCAGTAACAATTCTCAAGGTTACACTGATTTTCAGACTCTGGGAAACATTTATTTCAAAACAATGGGATCTAACTGCTCACCACGTGGCCATGAGGGATACAGATGCAGTATCACTTCCTGCTTTAAAATGCAGGGTGTGGCTAAAATAAGGCTCTGCTTATTGACTGAAACTCTTTGTGATTCGACAGAGACAAAAAACATAGAACAGCATTTACTTGGAATAAAGTTTTTTTATTTTAACTCATGATCAAACTAAATGTTTCAACTTTACTCTGAAAGAAATTAAATAGCATTTAAACCCCCCCAAAATTAAGTTGGGGACAGGTTTGGTACACCTACCAATGGAAAGTACCCTAAAAAGTATGACTTTGTATGTAGCATAAACCTTGTAAATATCTAAGATCTGAATACTTAATTGTTTTTTTACACTGTTACCTGCAATTGGAACTAATTTAGATGTCTTTTTCCACCCACATGGCACATGGAACACAGCAAACCACACAACATTAACAAAACATTTCATATATCTTTATATACTGGCCTCAGGATGCTAAGGGGTATACAAACATACAGGTAACTGTCAAACCCACTGAAAAATCCATGTGCTGTCATCACCAGTAATAACAAAGCATATCTCACTATCCAGAAATAAAACTATCCTTACTACACATCAGAATAATCATTCTGTGGTATGTGTTTGTAGATTGCTGACAACATACCAAAAGAACGACTATTCCTTACAGGTCTCGAACTGCTTCACTTACATGAGTAAACCATCTCTTTCATTCCAAGAGGCTCTCCTGAGAGACTGACACCTTAGAAACATCTCGCTTCCTCTGGAGGACCTTTGAAACACACACACACTACTTCTCATCCACTAAATAACCTAGCATATATTGATTGGATGTTACTCTACTTCAGAGACTTCCTAGTCAAATGCCTTCTAATCTGTGCATAATTCAGACTATCACTAATGAATAGGAAATAAAGGAGGAGAGTCTTGTGAGTTCTGAAAGAATCCTACTGCTGATTTCTAACAAAATTAGGAAGGAAAAGAAAATTACAAAGCAAATTTTTTGCAATGAAATAGATGGAAACACTATAATGTCATCCAACGTTCACTCCTATTTAGAAATATAGAAAATGTAATTACGTAAGACAATGTAAGACAATAAACATCCTAATCAAACTTAGACAGAAAAGGCATTAAAAGATGTTTTTACTTTTTTATTGCCTTAATTATTCTCCTTGTTTCTCACCTCTAACTCCAGATCCTGTGGTTCTTCTTCTGAGAGCGGAATGACTGCTATCTTGGTGATCTTGTACACTTTGTGGTCTCCTGGCAACAAGCCCACCAGTGCTTTCTGGCGGATCAGAATCAGGCCCAGAGGAAAGTCTAAACAGAGGGAAAAGGGAAAGGGGTGCGTCATGGCTAAAGAGTTCCATACATTCTTCACACCATGACGGGACATTTCCCTGCTTACAGGAAGGGATAGCCAGCCAACACTGATGAGTCATCCCTATGAGCAGTGCTCTCACCACAACTGATGACTATACAGACAATTAAATGTGGTTTAGTTAAGGCTTTAGAACACAAAGCCCAGAAATTGTGCTCAGAAAGAGAACTAAAGCAATCAGAAACCAGTTATTTTGCCAAAGTAACTAAACCAGCTGGATTAATTTAAAGAGTTTTGAATCAGCAGCATTATATATTCAACTTCAATGGACTTAAGTCAGAGTGCAATTCTCACATCAAAACTGGGAATAGAAACTCAGGCCACGCTACACACAGTTCAAAATTAACACTTGTTGGATGTGGCTTGAGGCTCACTTCTCAGAACGTGGTGATACGAAAGTGCGATGATTTCAGTGGAACTGAGCACTAGCTACCTTTCACTTCAAAAAGCAGAACCTTGAGACACAAAGGGATGATAGATAGTGAAGGACCAAGTCATCGATTTAGGACCTTTAGTCCACCACAATGTTCTGTCTTCACACTTTTTATTAAAGCAACTTCCATTCCCCATTCAGTTTCTTAGAAGAAAGAGCATAACTTACCGGCATGAAGTTGTATTTTTCCAATAACGCCTTCCACAAGTCCCAAACATATAGGGTTCCATGCTAGTAGCAGGTCCGTTGCTGAAACAAAGAACAGAACAGCCAACAGATGCAAATAAAGCCACTGTTGTTCAAGTGTCCTATGAAAAAAGCCTGCTGTTTGATAACAGTGGTCTTATAATGTTTACTGTGACACTGCGTGAGATGCTGCATATGAAATCTTCCCAGATTCTGCGGCAGACGATATAATTCATGTTTACGTGTGCTGAAAGCCGGATTATACAATACAGATTTTTTGGTGACAGATCTACAGTGCAAGATTTCTGCTTGGGTCATCCATCAGAGCCTTCCAAAATTTCTCAGCAAAATATATAAAAAAAATAAAACTACATCTTTAAAAGAACAAAAAACATGAGTTTAGAGTCTTTTTGACTGCGGAAAACAAGGCAAAATAGAGTGCCCATTCTCTAAAGTGGGCTTGAGGTAAACAGGCAAATTTTTCTGTCCATTATGTGGTAGCTGGCTAGGCCACTTCAAGGCACATCATTTTTATGTGCACTGAATCATCATCTTTAGCATCTTCACTCTCATGTTCTCTCACTCTCTCTCTCACGAACGCACATACACATACATACACACAGAGATGCATCATTCCACATAACTTCCTAGTGGTTACTTTTTAGAAGTATTTTTAGTCATTTCTGACTGCCAGAACTAAGCTGTCATAGGTCATCTCTGATCACAAAGGGACTAAATCGGCTACCATAGAAGATGGCACATTCAATGTTCAAAGACCACTTATTTTAACTCATTACCAAATAATTCTTGCATTTTTGTCTGCAAGAGCGTTATTGTGGCAAAAATCCCAGAGTCCAAACCTGACTTCATTCAGTTTAAAAATGGTATACCTGTGGTTCTTAATTTTTGTTACTGATACCAAAATGGGAAACCAGCAAACTGTTCCAACCAATCTTGATGAAGTTGTGACAATTTCTATTAGCTCTTTACTCTAAAACAACATATATGTTACAAAAGATACAGCCAGATTTTCCTTTTATTTTTTGGCCTCATTCAATTCTGCCAACCAACATCAAAGCAGAAGGGCTGATGCTGCTCTAAACTTCTTCCAAGAGTCATTTTGTCAAACACAATGCAGACATTGCTAAGGCACAACACCATGACCTTTGTTAAGATAGCTGCTAAGAAAACCAAACCACATCTTTATGTGTGTCAGCTGTCGTTAACAATAAATGTTACTGTATTCACGCAAGCCAAGTTAAATGATTTGAACAAACAAATTTACTTCATTTGATTTTACTTGTTAACTAGGTATTTCATGTTTAAAAGTTAATTTAAAAGAGCAACGACACATTTTCATTGGATATTGGTATCAGCAAGTAACTTAAACCTATACCATGGTCTAAACCAGTGCATTCTTATGCATTTTAATAAAGAATTAAGGAAAAAATCTGAGGTTGTAAGAAATAAGTTAATGTACCATGTGGATATGATTACTATTTTCATGTCAAACTTGCTGAATGTTCTGACTTCAGTACAACAGATCATATACATACATACTTAAATGGAATTCTTTTAAATGAGCTGGTATCGATGAGCCATGCAAACAGTGGAAACCCTTTTCCAATTAAATAATGGAACAGTGCTGCAACCCTAACCGGCTCAGCTTGGCTGCACACACACATGGCGAAGGCCAGCTAGCCCCATAGCCTACTCATTCATATCTTAAAGATCCTTTGTCCTAAAGGACCCCCTACCACTCACTCACAGCAGACTGCACTAACTCACTGTTACCCACCTGAACGCCACAACAGACAGCAACATATTCAAAAGCATGACTACAAAAAAAGGAAACTGTACTACTTTACATGGGGAAGCAATTCTGGTGTTGTAAGAAAACAACAACTAAAAAGCCGACCATTAACTCTGCCTAGAGCTTTGAAAACAAATCTTAAAAAGGCCTCTCAATGATATCACAATTAAGCAAAACATTTAAAAGCATGTGTATTTTTGTAATTCTTACTGTGTATTTCAGTAATTCTAACTGACTGAGGTCTTTCAGTAAGAATTTTATTTATTTATTTATAAATTGTCTCTGTGCAAGAAGACTAATCTAAGTCAGATTACATCAGCATCCACAAGGTTACATCTTCAGTACCTTTAATTAGGGACAAAACTTGTACCATATTTCATTGAAGTTGCATTGACTCCACACACCCTGTCTTGTCTCCAGTCTTTCTCTTTTATTTTTCTGTTTTAAAACATTGTTTGCATCTTAATAAACAAAAAATGTAACTGCACAATACCTTTTTTTCTGACAGTGTATGTCAGATTTCCACATGTAAATACAGCACCCTATGCCCTCTTCTTTAACAAGACTTTGAATAGTCATCAACTGAGAGCTTAACATGTGATTAAAGCTGCTCTATTTGTTAATACTAATGATGACATTATCAGGGTGTCAAACTCTAGTCCTCCAAAGGCACAGCACTACACAGATTAGTGTTTCTCACACGCAGCTTAATACTCCAGCTGTACTGAAGATGAAACACTAAACTGGACCTCTTTTCAGAGAGAGACTTTGACGTGCCTAATCTGAAGCTTTTTGTGTAGATACCCACTATTTGCTTTATATATTCCACATCTGCAGCAAACGACAACAGGCAAAATATCCTCAATCTGTATGTTAATGATTGTATTTTATTCACAGCATCACTTAAAATGGGACACTCCAGTAAAATAACGTGGACATTTTTGACAAATCTCTGACCCAGTAAAGCACTGAGCGATCATAGATCGCCTGGACACAGCTGTTGAACATGGTTTCCAATTCTCACACATCTGCCTTGAGATGCACGCATCTCACTTTACCAGCTCTTCCCCCGTCTAGAAAGTAGGACGCTCACACCGCGAGGCGGATGCTCCGAGCTCCCAGCTAGCCGAGTGCATGACTACTAATTTAACGCTAACTTACTCATCGTTTACTCGACTTCTGCGTACATAATACGACAGCGCGGTCTTCTACACAATAAACACAACACAACTGAACAGACAGACGGCAAATGAGTACAAAGGCCAGCTTTCTTTGAATTTCTAATGTTTTAACTTTGTAGCTAGCAAGTAAGCTTGCTTGCTGAAATGTGAAGTTAGCTAGCAGGCTAGACATCAGGCATAATCTAGGGGTTAGCTAGCCAGCTGCACATACAGCTCAAACACAAAACAGCAGCCTAATCCTTGACGTGCGAGCACTGAATCAACTCACCGGGTCTGACGCTCAGAGAGCCGTCCTTCCTGCTGCACCACAGCGCGTTGTCGCCGCTCTGAAGAATATAATGGTCTTTTGCCTGAAACAGCTCCATGTCGCCGACAACTCAACCCAAAAATACGTAACTATTCAGCACTGAAGAGACAGCTAGCTTCGGCCCGAGAAGCCAGCGAACAGAATTCATCAAGCCAGCGAACCCAGGTAGTTAGCTGGCTAGCTAACGTGTTCCAGTGATAACTGCCAGTTCAGACTTGTCATCGACAGTTGTGGTAACGTTAACGTTAGCTCATTATCTATCGAGCAATCTGTGACGGTTATAATTTGATAAGCGTCAACATTGCTCCGGTTTAATTTATTAAGTAACTATTAGTCCTCAGAGCTCGGCAAAGACATTTCGACAGCGAACCGAGCGACATGTCGTGTCCTGTCTGAGTCAGGCTCGGATATTTTCCTCCACCGTGAATGAAGAGCAGAGCAGCGGTGAGGCAGTGAGCAGGGACTCAGGCGAGTTCCTGCAGTAACAACATCACGTGACCACTTTCGTCATATAAGGGGAAAAGGAATAAAATACATCTTTGGATGAATAAACTGTTCCACTTATAAATCGATATGATACTATTTTTGTGATTCTTTTGCCCTCAGTTGTTGAATTGTTGATCTCTTTATATGTACGTTATACATTGTTCAAAAAAGCATCACAAAAGATTACATGTTTGGATGAGAACACAGCACAGGCCTGCTGAAGACCCTTCATCACAGCCATTTTATTTGTGTAATTAAAGGCACGTTCCTTAGTTATGCATTTTAACCGTCTGTCTTCATCTCATATTTTAGCAGTCCTTAAAAATACAGTTATCAAACACCAAGAATATACACCAGTTTCAGTGCACACTTAAAAATTTGAAATTGGTTCTGTATAGATCCATGAACATTTCTATATAGCGTCAAAAAGGGTTCTCCTATTGTTCTTCTATTGTTACGATGTCAAGCCTGTAACAATAGAAGAACCCTTTTTGTTGCTATTTGTAGAACCATTTGAAACACATTGTCTATCAATCTGATCAATCCATCAATTTAACGAGGCAAAGAACCCTTTAATCATGCAAAGGGTTCTTTGAGTGTCCATGGTTTTTTATAGAACCACTTTCCTAAAGAACCCTTGAAAAAACCGTCTTTTTTTAGTGTGTATGACATTCATCTTAATGTTATTTAACAGAAGGTTTGATTATCAGGTTGAAATTTTTGTTTAAAAAGTGAACTGGAGGCAGTCGTGGGTCCTTTGTAATGCAGAGCTGCACAACTTACCTGATTTACATTACCTACTGAAAATTATTCTATTCTTCTTGTATATGTAGTGTAAACTATGTTATCTGCATATGGTCAAGGACAACATTACCCATTCCTGGTCCTTGAGTACCTTGCACTGCAGTTTACTGCTCAAACATTTGACTGCATCATTCATGAGTTTAAAATGAATATAATAGAGTAAGGAAGCACTTACATGTAGCAGGGACATTCCAGTATCAGGACTCTTTGTAAAGTCACCCAAAGTAAACAGATTATTTCAGTTATTGGCTTGATCAACCACAGGTATCTGTTCTGTTTAGATTTAGTCTCCACAAGTTCTAGCCATCATTAGTCCTGCGTTGATATCTACATTTCATACAGTTTCAGGGTGGAACTGAGAAGAGTTAGGTTGCTCTGGGTGGTGTGTGTGAAGAAGGCAGTGAATCCTTGTGAAATTTTTATACCACACTGTTTTTTAAATTCAGGAGGAAAGTGATGGTTTATATTTGAAATTCGCTCCCCTTGCTTAAATTTGGCCAAATTCATTGACATGTCTGTTTGGACCTACTGTACATCAGACTGCCTTTATCACACACCAGAATATAAAAAAATTAAAACAAAAAAATAAACAAATAAACAAACAGAAATGTTGCAGTTCATTTTTCTAAAAAGCACTGAAAACAAATAATACATCTGAATTAACATCTTCTATCTACATTTTTTTGCAGTCATACCACCCTGGCTTCATGCTGTCTATGGTGCAACAACCTTCTGCTGAAAAGTATTCAGCAGAAATAATATACATATTTCAAGCTTTACTCTGTAACCGGTTATTGCTACTGTATGATGCTATGTTTTGTTAGTCACTAAGTGCTTGCATAGTTCCACAGAAATTCACAGAAGTTGTATGAGTGAGATAGTCTGTATTCTTTATCAGGTCATGTTTTATTTATACATATATATTTTCTTACTTTCAAGAGAATACATTTCAATGGAGATGGAGGACATTTTTACCATTGGAAAAATGTAAAAATGTTCATTTTGGCACAAAAAATAGAGTAGAAATATAACATTATCATCTTTATCATTCAACAATTTATACCGATATTGACAAACGTCAAGATCACAATATTATATGTAAAACTGCATAATGCATAAACTTCTCTGATCAGTGTTTGTATGTTCTCAAAATGCACAGAATACATATAGAAGGAGTTTGGTTTTCATGTGAAACTGTGACCCTCTTTACAACAAAATCTTTTCTATTTATTCACTGTTATAAAATTAATTCAGAGAAATCTCTGAACTCAGATCAGTGTCTCTCTAATAAAACATGGGTATTCTTACTGGAATATTCAAAAGCTTTTCATCAGCCACTCAGCATGGTTAGAAACGATAAAGGCAAACAACTACATTTCCAAAAGTAGAAGCAAAAATAAAGCATTTGCATTTTAATAAAGGCCTCTTATTTGAGACTGGGTTTCATTTTGAAACCTAGTCACTACAAGGTCACCACTATGGTCCTGCTACAAGACACTTGCACGGTGAAATTCCACAACAGCAGCATCACATAACAGCACACATAATTGCACTCAGTAAACAAATTGTATTAATTTTCAGCCAATGGAACAGTTAAATTAATTGTGCATGCAAATAATAATAGGCTGAGGAGACAGAGGAGATGTGATGTGTGTTCCTTTCATAGTAGAACTTCGGTTCAAAGTCATGATATTTCCTTGGCCTTCTCCATATCTGCCTGGCCAATTAAGCTAGGCTCTCCTTTCTGGGCTGGGCTAGTAGTTTCAGTGTAGCTTTCACTCACTGGTCCTTCTGATTGCTCACCAATGTTCTCTAGCTCCTCAAGAATGGTTTGTACTCTGCGAACGCCATCACGTCGGGCCTGGCGCACATCTGTACGTCCCTCTGGGTCTACTGAGTCCAGAGCCAGCAATTCTTTGGTCAAAAACTCCTCCAGCATCAGATATCTTTTATCATTCTTTTTCCCATTAAAACACTTAACCTCCTGCGCCAGTTTCTCCACCCGCTCCAATATTTGCTGTACCTTTCCCAGTCCTGGGTGACTTGAGCATGTCTCCACCTTCTCTTCTGGCTGAGCTTGTGGAGGTAAACCTTCTGATTGTGGTGATGCTTTGTCTTGGGGTTCTGATGCAACAGGGACCTGCATGGAGATACTGGCCGTCTCTGGCATCTCTTGTGGCAGTTGCTCAGGTTGTTGTGCGGGCTGTTGTATAGGCACCTTTTCAGGTTCCTGTACAGGCTGTTGTGTGGTTGGTGATACAGGATGTGCTACAGGCTGCTGTGCATCACTCACTCTCTTAATAGGAATCTCAATGGACTGGGAAGCAGGTTGTTCAATTGACTGTTCAACTTTAGGAGGGATCTCTGTATGTGCAACATGCTGCTGTGCCTGAAAATGGAAGATATTATGATGTTAGTTCCTGTGATTACAATTTGAATGTAAATTCTTAAAAACCTATAATACTTTCATAAGCTATTTCTCCCTGCAGGTACATTCAGTATAGTGGGACTTAAGTATAGTCTGGAATTCAGGTTCAGAAATACATTTTAAACTATTTTTAAAAACTTGGACTTGGCAATAATGGCTGAAACTTCTACACAGCATTTTATTCAAGGTCCCATAATGCTTTATGCTCTGTGTAACCCGTTACATTACGCATGTACTATTAAACATGCCATGGAGAGCTCTCTGACAACATTACCTGAGGTCTTTCACTCATGATCTGTGCTCTGACTGGCTCCTGAGCCCTTATGGTAGAAGGGAGTAAAATAGGACTGGTTGAGCGATTCTGCTCAAGTTGGATGGGCACTTGCTCGCGGTATGTTGGAATTTTTTCTCGCGTGGAAAACACAGGGCCGCGGCTCCTCTCCTCTGGTTGGTGGCAATGAAAAGATGGCTGATACTCTGTTTGGGTGAAGCGCTTGGGATGGACGGTCTGGTTGAGCTGGGTATGTGGAGTTCCACCTGCCCCCTCATGAATGACAGGAATAGGAATGTAGCCTGCCTGAAGGCCTGAACTACTGGGTCTGGAAGGTTGGTAAAGAGCATTGGTATGAGACTGCATCGTCTGAGATGGATGGTGAACATGGTGAACCTGAAAGCAACAAAAATAAACAAATAGAACCAATTTCAGACATTTATATGGTATTACTGGGTCTGGCCAGTAAAATAATCATGCTCTAATTCTACACCATGTTTATAATAAACATAGATGATTTCATGGTTTTGAGCTCATGGCATGACAGTTATTGCAGATATAAATCAATAGGACTGACAAGGCATTCTGTTTTAAAAATTAAGGAGTTCTCAATACAGTTTTAAATATGAAGAAACTTTTTTCCCTGAATAAATTCTTGTTATCTGAAAACTTGAAAGTCTTGAAAGTTGTGAAAACCAACATTCCATTACATACATTACCAAATATGCCATGGCCCCCATAACAAAAACAAAAACTACCTGGCACCTAGAGGTGGGGGGAAAAAATCGATTCTTAGATGCATTGCGATGCAGACGTGAACGATTCTAAATCGATGTGTCAAAAATCGATTTTCTACATTTTAATTTATAACGTAATGTTGATGGAACGCAAAAGGCGAAACTTGGAAGTGCGGAAGGGCAGTGCCCGGACACTCTGTGACGTGCACATAACAAAAACACAACTGGATTAGCAAGAAACCCGACCGGCACTCTCTGCATTAAAAACTAGGTTAGGTCAGGAGTCGACAGCCCAAATGTTAAGAAAAGCCATTTTGTCCTTTCAACAAAAATCAAACCACCTTGGGAGCCACAACATTTTATGTCCAATATGTCTGAGTATGTGCTAATGTCCTAGTATAGGCTAAAAGTAGAAACGAAAGACTTACTCTGCTCTGCTTTAAGCTTTAGCTTTAGCTGCTTTCCTCTCATTTCCGCCAGAAAACTTTTCCTCAAAAGTTGAATAGTTTCTTGTAAAATGTCTCTCAACGTTTGACTGTTTGTACGAGGCTGAAGTCGCTTCTCATTCTCCAGCTTCTTGTTCAAATTTCCCCGTTCTGCCTTAAATTCTGACGGAGGCAACGAGTGTAAATACGGCACCATTTAAGGTGGAACAGGAAAATTTGACAGAGAAGCGACTTCATCTTCGCAACTTTTTAGCGCTTGACAGTCTCGTTGCAGATTTAACATACCAAGAAACCAACTGCAGTGCTTATGAATGCAAATGAGTCAATTCATCTCCAAATGTTCATCCTAAATCTCTCTCTTTGCCTTTTCGTTAGCGACTAGCTAGGCGACACAGCGTTGCTGGGTGACCTGCAGTCTGCACGCCAATTCTCAGTTGTTGCGAAACAGGGCTTTCGCGCTATGTTGCACACATCCCGTCTTGAAGATATTTTACTGACACAGCGATCCCCCCTCTCTCTACAACGAGACCAAAATTGAAGTTATAAAATCACTAAAGAAAACAGGGTAGGACGGCTGTAACGTGCTCCATGGACATCCATTACCACTGGATCTTATTTCACCGTAAGAGCACATTTATTCATTATGGAACATTACAAATACTTTGCTTTTAAAGTACCAAGTCCTCACACAGTGAGAAAATAGAAATCATGTATAGAGATGCATAATTAGGTAATAAAATAATTAAATAGTTTTATGATCGCATCGCAGCCCTCTGAATCATAATAGAAACGAATCATGAGGTGCCTAGAGATTCCCACCCCTACTGGCACCAAACAGCTTGCTTCTCACAACAAACTAAAAATCCTCAAAATAGTTCAACATGTAGTTTTTCTTTCATAGTTGTCATTATACTATCACAACAAAAATCTAAGTCTCTAAGGTGTACCTCAGGTCCCGGTGAAGCAGGTGAGCAGGACAAGCAGTGAGGATCCGCCTCTGATGGGGACTGCACTGGAGATCTTGGCCGACTGTGTAGTGCAGGAGTTGGGGACGGGGTCCGCCCATCTGCTCTTAAGTTCTGCTGGTGCGCTGGATGCATATAGGAAAACGGGTACTGTTGCTGCCTTGGCTCAACATTTTCATGGGTTACTGGAATTGGGATGTAGCCTTGACGTAAAGTTGGCTGTTTCATCTCCTGAAAAAAAGTCTTGTGCATGTCCAGAGGAGATGATTCTGTAGGGGCACAGTGTCCACTGGGAGAAAGCTGAATGATCTGTAACACAATTGTCAGACACACTAATTTAACATACATCTACAGATGAAAAGCATTAGGAAATATGGCTACTGCAAGTTTATTGCTGCTAATAATATCTGCAATCTAATGTGGTAGATAAGCTTAGGTTTCTTCACATTACATCATTTTAGCAAGCAAGTTATAGTATGACTCTGCCCTACTAAGACGTAACACTCTTTAATATTTACCATATTTATTTATATTTCTGTTGAAAATGGTGCAGGCAATTCTCTGAAATAACTTTCATAAATGTGAAAAACTTTTCCAGCTGTTGCTTCAAGTGAACAGTTAACAAACAAACTGTGCTTCAGAAAATACAGTTCATTATATTTGACATGGACACAATAAGTGTCTTCTTTATGTAAGAAGCTCACAGCTGTAAGTTGTGATGTTTGATCAGACAAGATGTGAATTCAACTTAGATTTATACAGTATAGGTTAAAAAGAGGACAACATGGGACGTGAGAAAACTTGACCTTTCTAATATTTGTTCTCTCAGAGAAAAAGTTAATGTTCTCAGTACTCTAAATATAAACAATTGTTAATATCATTATATGGAATATAAAACCTGATTTATCAACTAAATTTCGCTATGAAAAATATTTATCAGAATACCTGTTACTGTGGATGAACTAACAATAGATTCAAAAGAACTTTTTGACAGCAAAGGCTACGTTTTTGTTCTTCGGCCTCATGGAGTGCCACAGCACTGAAATAAGATGTAATCGTCACAGCTGATCCAGTCACTGTAGTCAAAGAAAGCCACTGGCCCACCTCACAGATCACTGTAAACTTTCACATTTCGGCTCCATGTAACATTCCACACATGCCAAACAATTTGTAATATTTCTTTCATGCAGAAAGCCTATATAAATAGAAAGGATATATATATTGAATCTTTCATCTTTACAAACTTTACAGTTACAGTGCTTCCTCCCCATTTGAGATCACTTTCTCTCAAAACCATATTCTTGACAACATTATTACTCTTTTGTACATTACAATTTGGGAGAAGTAAAAAGCATTTTTTTAAGTAGAAGCCTGTAGAAGCATTTCTACTTTAAAAGATTCTGTTCATTAAATGAAAGTGCCATCTGTGCTCAATCCTATGTGTTGCCTTTTAGTTTTTACTAAAAATAAAGTTGGAAAAAAACAGACCACAAATAAACTACACATGTAAACAAGCTGTTCTTTAAGCCATCGCTGCTATAGCGCTGAAAGGGTATGTGCAGTTACTACACTTAGATGTTGTGAAATGCCAACACATAATATCAAAAGTATCACCTCAATGATCACTACCAGAAAAAAAACATTGGTCTCAAGCAGTATATTCCAAACTTTATCAATTTCATCTTTTACCTTAAAGTAAATTGTTAAAGATAGTTGGTCATGTGAATCTTAGTTCACAATGATGCTATGTCAAGTAATGTTTTGGTAAATGTGGATTTATGATGTACGAGGTTGCACTGCATGAGCAGTTAATTTCATGTACTTGTAAAGTCGTAAAAAAATAATGCTTACAATACTCTATATGATTTATGCAAATATACAATATTCATATGTGTGCAAAGTAATTGAGTTAAATATATAAATATTTTAGGTACAAACTTTGCACTAGGTACAAAGTTCCTCGGTGTAATCATAGAGTTAACACTTTGATTATGGGTGTAGTCTAGCACTTTTATATTAAATAGTAGTCTATTACAAAAGTGAAACTTGGCATTTTAACGTAATTCTCTCTTTTTTGTCTTCATTATACCAAGGTCAAATACCTCTATCCCACACATGGCTTGTCTTGGGTCAAATCCAGAGTAAAAATCCACTTACGCATTACTTTAAGTTATTTTACATCAATCGTATAGAAATATATACTGTACATTTACCGTCATGACATGACTCATTGTGTGTGTGTGTGTGTGTGTGTGTGTGTGTGTGTGTGTGTGCGCGTGTGCACTGAATGGGTTGCTGTTTGGTTGACACTGTAGCTTAAAATACACTTTGTGAGGGGGTGGGCTTCACTAAGCAGATCCATGATGAGAAAAGGCCTCCCTTACTCATCACTGTGAATCAGAAGTATGGGCCCCAGACAATCTCTCAACCCACACAGGGAGCAAAAATAATAACATTGTTTTGATATTAACTTGTGGCGGTCGCCTCTTAAAACTGTGGGTCCACTCGACAAGGCTCTTGGTGTATAGCCTAAAGTCACTTCATCAGTTATGTGTTCAATCAGTTCCTCATTGTAGAGTAAACCAAAAATTCTGATTAAAATACTTCATTGTTAGGAGGGCACAGTGGAACACGAGTGACCTTATGTCCTCTGCCTTTCTGCCTTTGACGTGTGGACACCGGCGGCCTTGCGCCCATTTTATCTCCTGGCAGCTGTGTCTTTCCAGCAGATTCTTGGTGACACTAACTTTGGCCAACAGCAACGTGTTGATCTTTCTAATGAGAGATGCCAACTGGTGGGCCCTAGTCTGCACCCCTCAATATTTCGAAATCGCTCGGTGGCAGGAATGTCCAGGATTCCACAGATCAAGATCTGAAAAGAGGGACTTTAGTTTTGACGAATCTGGGTAACTGAAACATCACGTTTCTGCCTTCTCGTGTCTCTCATTACTAAACCATTCATTGGTCATCACCGAAGCGCTCAGAGAGAGAGAGAGGGTGGATCCGTCTCAAATCCCATGTAAGGGAAACTTTGGGGGACATGATAGCGAGCGGTTACAACGATATTGCGAACAAACGCAATGTGCGCAGCTTCAGCCTCTTTAAATAACCATTATGGAGATGGTGAAACACTCCGGGTCTTTAGCCTAGGCTACATACGACTGCAGTGCGTCACACACCAACCAGCCCAGCTTAGATCATAACACAGAAATATTTCAGCGCGATAGGAGCCTATCTGTCAGTCCGCTAGAATGAATATGAGACGCTCTTCTAGGAATGCAGCCTGCACATTCATAACACGAACCCGCTCACAATTCAAGTTGCTCCCTCGGCCGTTTAGAAGTACAGCAGCCCGTATTCAAGCCTGTTATTTTCTATATGTATGTAGTGGAATTTGTCAACGCAGTTTATAAATATGTAGTCAAATTCGATAATCCAAACAAAGTTACACATCCCTACGCTAATACAGTAGTGCAAATGAGACTGAAGTAGTTCTCCCTGCTCGTAAGATACCACCTGTCAGCCACATTAATTCGACACTAAGCAGAACGCCGACAGGGACGTGGGAGCGCAACTTCCATCGCAGTTCTGCGACTGCGCCACGGCTTTCCCCGCTGTAGCCTACCTTCTTAGAGTCATGTCTTGGGTCGTTCCACGTTGTTATGCGATTGTTGTGATCCACAAAGAACGGCCACCCGGTCTGAGGGTCAATTTTGATCTCCCATCCTGGTGGCAGAGGGTCATTCGTAGCCATCGTTTCAACAGGAGACAGTGTTTTCATGCTCTGCTGTAGCCTCGGTCTTGAATATTGTGCCATTACGGCGCATAGGGATCCTTTAAAGGATCGATGTGATGACGTACGAATGACAGGGGTTGGGTTTCTCGAAGCAGCTGGTGGGCTGCTAAGAAAGTTCTAGTGGGCTTCATGGCCATGTGCACTCAGTGCAGAGCCTTACAGTGTCCAGGGGGGCGAGCAGTGCTGACCCACCTCCTCAGAATCGCCTCTTGCTAATCCTCTGGACAAACTCTCAGAAATGCTTAATTGATAATTAAATGCTTTACTATCGCCTTCAAGACAGATGGGAACACCATGTTTTTAGGTCTAAACGAAGTTTAATGAAGTTGAACCATAAGAAGTGCACGTAGAACTCCAACTCATATTTCTAGAATTTTCTAGAACGTTTGAGCAAATGGGATCAAATTCTCTGAGCCTGTTATCCAAACAGTAATGCACTGATACAGATTAATCTTACATGCTGCCTTAAAGTGACTACTATAAATTGCCAAAACATCACTACAGCAAAATCAAGACTTCAATCTTTAGAAACAGACATGGTAAACCTCCTCTGGTCATTTAATGGCTAGAAATTATGATATTCACAGTACAAAATCCATTTGTGCCTCAGTTTTTGTCTAGTACATTTACATATTGGCATTTGGTTGTTCACATGTAGCAAATTTGTTACTGTTCTTCGCACACTATATTGAATTGAACGCAGGGTTTTTAATGAATAGTCATCAAAGCATTCAGATGATGTATAAATATACAATTTAGGCTTGAATTTAAAAATGGACCAGGAACCTGTCAATGATCCAGCAAAGTTTTATTGTTTTGTTTGATTCTGTTTGATTAAAACAAATGATATGAAATAATTTGTGATACCATTAGCTAAATATATTAAAATTATTCAAAAAAATTGTTAACCTGCTCCCAGACAAGCAGTCAGACTAGTTCACTTAAAATTCTGTATAAGGTGCAAAGCATCTGCAGGTGAGCAAACAAGTCAACAGGTCCTACTCCCAATTTGTGTGTGTGTGTGTGTGTGTGTGTGTGTATATGTGTGTGTTGTCTTTGAAATGGAAAATTTTCAAAATTCCAGTGCTTGAACTCATCTGCAAGAACCACAGTAAGTAACATGGCTTAAAGCAGATCAGAAGACTGTGAAGTTAGTAAGACACGAGCAGAGAAATAGTGAAAAAGCTTGATGTGGGCACAACTAACATAAGAACATTGATGCCCAAAGCATCAATGTTCTTATAGTGGTCTAATGTACTGTATAGACCACTAGATGATTATGTATGTATGTATGTATGTATGTATGTATGTATCTATCTATCTATCTAAAATTGCCTGTGGTTGAGTCAAGAACCTCCAGGTGTGAGAGACCGGGACATGTGAACATGCACTGTTAGTGCTGGTAATTATGTTTTTTACAATAAATGTACACTATATGTCCAAAGGTTTGTCACACACCCGCTCTTCTCTATTTGGTGCAGTAACAGCTTCAGCTTATCTGGAAGGCTTTACACTAGATGTTGGAAGATTGCGTTAAGCCACAAGAGCATCAGTGAGGTCAGGTACTGATGTTGGATGATCAGTTCTATATCACAAACACCACTCGAACTCATCCCAAAGATTTTGGATGGAGCTCCATCACTCCAGAGAACACAGTTTTACTGCTCCACAGCTCAGTGCTGGGGAGCTTTATACCCTTCTAGCTGACAATTGGCATTATGACCTTAGGCTCATGTGCTGCTGCTACAGAGCGTCCCATTCCATTGGCAGTGCTTTTCTACGGAAATTATAAAAATCGTGTGTGTAGTTGATTACCTTTCAACAATGGATGCACTCTAAAGTAACTGAAATCACTAGTTAGAAGGTGTCTGGATACTTTTGCATATACAGTGTATATGCTATTTATGTTCTAGTTATGTATGATATATATGACGGAATTTCATGTTTCTTACAGTGTTTTATAAAGGCTGTTTGGAGATCGGTGAATCTGCACAGCGCTGTGTTTGGGCTGCGCTGCTTGAACGCGCTCACTCTCTCTCAGTGCTCAACCCCGTGATGCGGCGCGCATGCGCACTGACTGGATTCCGAGCTGGCCGGGTTTCGCCATTTTCTACACAATAAAGAAAGTAACTAGCTAAATCGGTCTGGTGTTCTTTCAACGAAAATATAAAGGCACTTTGGCCATTAATAAGTTATACCAAAACTCCGTACGACATCTGAGAATGGAAGACGAGAGCCACCCAAAAACCCTGTGAGTACTTTACAACACAATAGCATGCGTTTGGATTGGTGTGTTCAAATACCGCACACGTTCACTTAGCTAACGTGACCACAACTGTTTTTTTCACAATTAAATATGCACAGTCTAAGATAAAATATTTCAAACATCCAGCAAATTCAGGGTGCCAAGCTGTCAGGAGGTTCTCTTGTCTGCCCGCTGTAAGCGGCTCGTTTTAGTTGCTAGGCTAATATATTAGCTAGCTGGCTAGCTTGTAAGCGGGGTTGTTAGCTTAGCTGTCTTTGTAAAGATACAAAATGGAGACAAATAACAAATTATATGTAGTCGTGTGCAGGTCCATCGTAACAGGATGGTTCGGCGATGAGAAGTTCGTTTGTAACTTTGCAAGTGTCGACTGGGACAGACGGTTATTAACGTTAGCTTGCTATCGTTGCTAGCGCTAGCCGCTTGTTTAGCTATTGTCTGACATCAGCTCGCTAGCTGCTGATTTTCAGAGGCCCAACAACTAACCAGGGTCCTGTGGTCTTTTTTAGACTGATTGCCAGTGTCATTCTAGACGTTTCACCGTTAAACTGACACGTTTATTCGGTTATTTTGCCGTTATTGTTGTAGTCTTCTATTTTAATTATAGAACCAAGTACAATTGTTGGTAGCCGAAATGCCCCCTTCGTTATTCTTAAGCGGAAACGAACGAGTCTGTCAAAAAGCATTTTGCCGCTGAATATTGTGGGGTTATTTTTTTACACTGTATTTATGTTATCTGAGATAAATTGTTATGTGTTCTGTTATGGTAATTGTTTGCATACTGGTTCGCTAAATGAGCAAAAGCACGACGGCGTGTTTTGTTTCCTTTGTCATTTTTGCTTTTTCTGGAACAATAAGGCGCACTTCAGTGAGGTGTTCCTCGTTTTCGTAATCGTTGAACTAATTGAGTAACCTCGTTCACATTTTGCTTTCTGACCAATGCACAATAAGACACTACTTTAGATATAAAACACATCATGTTACCTTCACTGTTTTGGAAATAATATTCTGTAACTTAAGTTTATGTCAGTCTCGTATCCACGATGTTGTGTGATGAGCTGAGTTTTCAGGATCTCTGCATTTTTGTTTGCCTTTCAGTTACGTGGGAAACCTATCTAGGGATGTCACAGAGAACTTGATCCTTCAGTTGTTTACCCAGATTGGTCCCTGTAAAAGTTGTAAAATGATAACAGAGGTAAGATTTGAATATATATACATCATTTAAAGGTGGACCAAGCAGTTATTGCTCAAAGAGTCTCAAAGGAGACTCTCGCAAAATTGAAAGTTTTGACGATCATAGAAACTCATCACTGACCTATGTTGAATTGAGAAGCAAAGGGAATATTTTTTTTAACAAATATTTTACGATCACCTAAGTAGTACATTTTAGCTTGATAGAATTTCTGGAAAATTAACCTGACGTAGTTCATTTCAATTAATTAAAATAATAAGGCAAAAGGGGAGAAAAATAGATGAAGGAAGAAATAGAAAAGTTTTTTTTTTTCTTACAGTTAAAGTAGCTGGATTATTACATTTTAAAACTGAACTTAGTCTTTTGTTTAGCAAAAATATGCTTTCCTAGCTGTTTAGTAATATCAGGTTGGTGAATCTCTGTTGAATTTTCTGTTTTGCAGCACATAAGCAATGACCCATATTGCTTTGTGGAGTTCTTTGAGCACAGGGATGCTGCAGCTGCCCTCGCAGCAATGAATGGAAGAAAGATTCTGGGAAAGGTACTTTGCTCTGCAATGTGTGCTGAGACGTCTGTGGTTTGAGATTGCTTTATGTTCAAGAACCCTTCTGCCCAAATCATAACTAACACGGTTTGTTCTGCAGGAAGTCAAAGTAAATTGGGCAACAACTCCAAGTAGTCAGAAGAAAGACACGTCCAGTAAGTTGTCTTTCTATGTTCTGTGTTAAGTACTGCATTGAAAATTGTTAAAATTGAAGAAAAAACAGGTTATTAATGCATGTCTGTGTGTTTTACTTGTTTCCCCCTTACAGATCATTTCCATGTTTTTGTTGGAGATCTGAGTCCTGAGATCACCACTGACGATATCAGAGCTGCATTTGCCCCCTTTGGGAAAATTTCGTAAGTGTTGAGAATCTTTTATTTTGTGAAAGATGATTTGTTCTTTTATTAAATAGTAAACAGCCAGAGCAGTTTGTATGAGGAGCTATATTTAATGTATTGTTAATCTGAGGGCTTCTTGGACTATTTTTTTATTATCATCAGTAGTTTATTTTTTTAACCATCATTTAAGGATTACAGAAAGTAACAGCTAAGAGAGAAACAGTTGTTTGCCTTTGGCTTTTGTTGTAAGTGTGAAATGATTAGAGTAGATTTCTGAAGTAATTTATTTTTATGAAGGACCTTCAGACTTTTAGTTGCTACAGATAGCCTTAAAGAGAGTATTGGTACTAAGTAAATATTTTAGTGTTTTGCACAAAAGATGGACACATCCACACATGTTCTTCACCTCACAAAATATAGGTTAGGTTTTTAGGACTTTTAGTGCAATACTGTGGTTAGTGCCACATTCAGATGTGTAATAAGAATATCTGCACCATTAAATATTCCTGATTGAAGAAATGGTAAGTAGATCTAATTTTTAAAGCAGTTCAATATTTGGTATCAAAAATTGTCACTGTGAATCTGAAAATCTTTCAGATTCTTCTTTAGCTGCGAGTGTCAGTTAATAGCACTCTGGTTATTTTACAGAAATGCTCATAGGATTGGACAGGAGCTTGAAGGCTAACAGCAAGGAACTGTGCACACTGGGAACTCAGATGTAGATTTTTTTTCTATTTACTCTTTGCTTTTCATACTTATACTGCAGTATTTTCGTATTAACGCTGTAGTATAGTTTTTAACAGTCCTCCAGTCTTTCTTGTTAAAATGTTGTTTCATTATGGTTATTTAGTAGTTTTGTTTATAGTTTTGATTCTCTTAAAATGCTGAAAATGTCAATTTTTCGAAATTTGCAGCTTCCCAAACTCCATATTGGTGGTAAAGAATTGACCAGGAAAAATAAAGAAATCTGTTAACAGGCCATGTATGCCGTTTAATTCCTTTTTTCTCTTTTGATATTTCTATATATCTCTACTGGTAGGATTAGAGACAACAGCAGAAATTAGGAGTGCATGGTAAAGAAATTGATTTGTTTTTGTGTTTTTTAAAATGTATATTTATTTTTACTGATATGAATATGTAAGACCTAGTGTGTAGCACCAGGATCTCAGTGGAAACCAGGACTGTGCAAGAGCTCTTAAAAACACAGTAGTGTAGCTTGCATGGACTTGTATTTTTTGATAGCTCATTTAATAGTCAGAAAATGCAGAGAATTGCTAGTGTAATTACTTTATTGGATCATGTAGGATACTGTAAAATGTTTACAGTACTGTGTGTGTGTGTGTGTGTGTGTGTGTGTGGTTCCTTTCTTTTCTTTACCATGCTGCCAGCTTGGAAATGAGCTTACATCTTTGGTATACCATTTTCTTTCAGGGATGCTCGTGTGGTGAAGGATATGACAACAGGGAAATCAAAGGGGTATGGATTTGTGTCCTTCTATAACAAACTGGTAAGGCTCCAGCTCAGGAACACAAAGTGAAGGTTATTTCTATTTCTGTTTACTATTATATTTTTTGACACAATTTCAATTCTATTGAGATTTTAAATGTAGTTTAGAAAAAGTCACTGTAGCAATAACAAATTAGGTAGAGTTTTTTGGTCTGTTGATGGTTGAGGTCAATTAAGGTTTTAGTTTCTATTTATTAAAAAAAAATAAAATAAAAATTTAGACGGGAAAGGGAGTTATAAACGGCCTGAAGTATATATTTTGTTTGCAATTTTAATGTTAATGTTCCAGCAAGTGAGCTTGTGTGTCTTTTTTATTTTTATTGCTAGGATGCAGAGAATGCCATAGTACACATGGGCGGTCAGTGGTTGGGTGGACGACAGATCCGAACCAACTGGGCAACTCGAAAGCCCCCTGCCCCTAAAAGCGTGCAAGACAGTAAGCCCATCACATGTCTAGGTCAGACCAAGTTGTGGAGGACCACAGTACTATGCAGTTGTGTTGTTCTTAAAAATCTTTTAAGAATTTTGTTGATGGGATTAAAAATGCACTAAAATATTCATTCTTGTCTCATGTTTTAAAAATGCTTAAAAATTTCTTCAGTTTCGATAACTTTTATTTTTGACAATGTCAGGCAGCTCAAAGCAGCTGAGATTTGAAGATGTTGTGAACCAGTCAAGTCCTCAGAACTGTACTGTATACTGCGGTGGCATCCAGTCAGGCCTTTCGGGTAAGTCAAACATGCTCTAAGTGGTGTTTGGTCTTATAGCTTGTGTGACATTTCATATTTATTATGTAACTTGCATTGTACTGTTTTTACAGAGCACCTTATGCGACAGACATTTTCACCTTTTGGCCAAATAATGGAAATCAGAGTTTTCCCAGAGAAAGGCTATTCTTTTATCAGGTACTTGTGCCCTATGAATATTTAGAAAACTTTAGGCTTTCTCTGACAGATTAAACCCCCCTTTTTTTTTCTTTTCTTTTTTTTTTCTTTTCTTTTCTTAAAAGCTATAACGACGTCACTTGCAGTGTCTGTCTAAGCGTTCTGTTAGTTAAGGCTAGTCAAGGACAAAGACCTTAATCAAGTATGTATTTGGGACACTGGTTCTGCATCCAGCATTTGCATACATAATTTAAATTTACTTATTTGTGTATTTTAAGAGTAAAAAAAAAAAAATAAAACCTGCCCTTTTCTATGTGTAATGTGAAGTGTTGCAAGAAGTTAGAACAGATCATGTTACAATTTATGTAATAACACTGTCTTTTCAATAGATGGCACCAAATAACAAAGTGATTCTTGGAGTTATTACTAGCTTTGCTGTGTTGGCTCTGTTGCTTTAAGTAACTGTTTTAAACCATAACAAAAAGAACATCTACATACAGATGCACTTAGTGTGTATCATATGCTGTGTAGCATATTTTATGTATTTATGGTGCACGCATTGTGAGTACAAATCTACAAATCTGTCACCTGTGGTTTTGTACAAGTATCCTTTATTGAGCTGTAATGTGCATATCTAAAAAATAATTAAACTACATAAAATTAAAAGGATGCATCTTCAACAGCATTGTTACTTCTAATCTTAAACACCTTTGCTTTAATATTGTGTTAGGATTGTGTATCAAGGCTCTACAACACATTTCCACAGGTTTTCCTCCCATGAAAGTGCTGCCCATGCCATCGTGTCAGTGAATGGAACAACCATCGAAGGCCATATTGTTAAATGCTACTGGGGTAAAGAGTCACCTGATATGGCTAAAAACGTCCAGCCAGTAACTGAACAAGTATGCACCATTCTTTATTATGCATTTTTCATTTATATTCAATTGCAATATCGACCATCTAGAATTTAAACTTAAAATCTTGAAAATATTTATTTAATTTTGTTAGATAGTAAGGTTGTTATCTAAAAGTGTGTCTTTTCAAACTGTGATAAAACTATAATTCATCAGTGATTTCTGTGTACGTTAGGTGTTTATGCCAGCCCAATTTATCAATAGGCTGCAAGTTCATCTATACTCAAGATATTTGTGGAGACTTAATCTCACCTTCTTTGTGATTGTTTCTGTAACCAAGGATGTGAATTAAATATCCTCTTTTATTACTTAAAAGGTGGATTACGGTCAGTGGGGCCACTGGAATCAGGTGTATGGAAATCCTCAGCAGTATGGTCAGTACATGACGAATGGATGGCAAGTACCATCCTATGGAATGTATGGACAAACATGGAATCAGCAGGGATTTGGAGTGGAGTAAGTGTCGAATTTGAATTTTAATATTCTAAAATATTCATGTTGCTTTCATAATGTAAAATGTAAAAGCTGTGTGTAACTTTTAGAAACTGGCTTTTCATACAGGACTGTTGAGCACCTTGTCTTTATTAGTTTGAAAGTCTATTGTAGTGTATTGTTAATCAGTGGCTAAACTGATTACACAGACTTGATTTGTGTTTTTGTTTTTGTATTATAAATTTGTGAATCAAACAAGCACTCAACTCTGGCAGCATCTGAGTCTGCCAAGTGTTTTAAAAGCAAGAAGTGTTTTATAACTACAGTTTTCTGCCAAGTTGTTTGAAAATGACTCTCATTTTGTCTCTTTTTTCCATCTCAGACAGTCACAGTCTCCTGCCTGGGTGGGAGGTTTTGGGACTCAGCCCTCTCAGGCACAGCCAGGTCCAGTGATGAACCAGGCTAACTTTGGCATGGCTGGTTACCAGACACAGTGATCTGGTCCTTACTTTTCAACGTCTGAGTCACTTTGTGGGAACCCTCTCCTTCTCACTGGGAGGGAATAAAGAGACTAATAGGAGAACATCGACTTTTTCCCAGAGAACGTTCAGAACTGACTTAAATCAGGGTTTGCTTAAGTGTAAAGAAGCAAATTTTGATTAGACACACATGGGATGAATGCCTTCAGCAGGAAACTGAATTTATTTGCGAAATTTATTTTTTTCTTGTTTTAATGGAGTCGGAGAAAATAAACTGCATTTCCCCCACCCCCATCCGTATTGAATATATTTGCTTGATGCCAATTGCAGGAAGTTCACAGGTACATAGCAAAAAGTTGTACATGTTTTGAAACTGATGCTTTTTAAGTGCTTTCCTTTCTCCCTTTCCAAATAGCTGATCATGTGTTTGCTTGTACATCACATTATGGACTTCAAATTTTGTACTAAAAGAAGAGAAACAAGCATTCTGATTCAGTAAACACATGTAAGTAAAGGCACTTTTTGGGGTTCATAGGACCTGTGTCTTGTAAATGTTTAAGTGTAAATGAATTTCTATGTGCAGTTGTGTATATTTAATCCACATTAGCTCCTCATTTCTCTCAGAATTCTAGAGTTTGATACCGCGTGTATGATATTCTCTTTTTACTATGATTTGCCGACACAGTGAAATATCTCATTCAATACAGAGAAAGGGTCACTATGGCTGATTATGTAAATAACCTTTGATAACTCAGTGTGGAATAGGGTTTCAGAATATGCATTCTTCATTACTGGATTGAGCAGATCCAATACTGCTCTTCATGGACAAGTGTGACTGACGTGCTGAATTGATTCAGTGTTACGAATAAGCCTTAATTTTCAGTCACGCAACTTTCAATTTAAAACCCTTGTAGAGAGTTGTATTGTTGATTTTAGAGCCCACAGTAGATTTTGTCCATTTGCAGTTTTGAAAATACGCGTGCCATTTTCTCTAGTAGCCAGAGAAAAATGAGATTTGGGTATTTTTCTGGGGACTTTGTGGATTTGAAATGCATGTTTCAAATCACATTGTTGAGGTTGCTTAAAGAATCGAATGTAATAGGTAAAATGTTTGAATGCAATTTAGCGTTTGATAATTTTCTTTTAAGTCTAAATGAGTCTCAATAAATGAATCATTGGACTAGAAATAATTGTTTTTGTTTTTTGTGCTAGTATGTTCCAAAATCTGCTATAGCTCGAGCTGTTAAGGGAAAGGATGAAAAACCTTATGTGCTCTTAGAAGAATTTAGGGTACCAGTTTTTTTTTTTTAACTTGCTCTGGGCTCCTCTACATTAGGAATTGTGCTTCATTTAACCTGTGGAATATATTATCTAAAACATGACACATGATAATGTTACAAAGCAGTTTCATCACACTCCAGTGCAAAACCAGGACATTGTACATAAGATGTTAAAGATAGGCTGCTTGTTACAAAAGGAAATTCAGTACTGTCTGAATATGATGCAAGTTCTTTATTCAGAGATTAAGAGAAACAACCACTGGCACCTCAGCTCAAAAGGTGTCATTAGCATCAGAGGCATACACCTGACACAAACTGCTAGTATGACTAAATGTTAAATATGCTAACAACAGCACAGAACTAAGTGTACATTTTAAATTGATTCTATGCCTTAAAGCAATGGCTCTCTTTCAAACAGCACATAAGCATTTGTTAAACATAAATGTGGAGTGCTGTAGTATCACAATACAAGAAGTATACAGAACCATAAAATACATAATGTAGGAAATAAACTGGATCTACCAAATGCTTATATGAGGTACTCTTATTCTCTCAAATCTGTGGTGAAACAACCGTTGTTCAAGCAAAGACACCATTGTAACAAAAGTCTTACTCAGGTTGTGTACTCACTGGGGCAGTGAGGTGATGCTTGAGAGAACATGATTGGTGTTTTTAAGGAACCATGGCTACTTCTACAATAATAATGTTATTCTCCTATAACATACATTATCAGTGTATCATACATAGTATGTTCTTCTATGCTATACTGTTATAAATGTTTCTACAGGTTTAATTTTTGTCATGTACAGGATTTATTTGTCTAGATTAAATGTGTTGCCATTTCGTCCATGTTTCTGCTTCAGTGACGTGTAGAAGTACTGTTTTCTGTGACAGTGGGCCAGCCTATGTCTGAATATAAACCACTTCCTGCATTCCCCATGTGAGCAGCTGATGACCAGGATGCTGAGTCCTGTGTCAGACCTCTCTCCAGGTTTATCAGAACATTCCCTCCAGACGCAGGCCTCTCCTGCTGCAATGGGAGAGCATTAACAAACAAAACCACAGTTTAAAGACTGCAGAGATATGATGTATTATGTGGTAAGTATATTACAAGGGCATTTTGTGGAGTGAGGGGAAATAACTATCCAGGCACTTTTGTTTTTGTTATTTATTATGTTTCTAGTGCTGATGTCTGCTTCAAATTTTTACACACATAATGTCTGTTAACTTTGTACTTCTCAGTATGAGCATAAATGAACAATATTTATGTACATATACACACACACACTCTCTCTATGGTATGCGGACACTCCTCCTAATCACACTTTATTATCTGGCAGTCTAATGGATGAATCTGGCTTTGATGGATGTCAGGAGAACACTACCTACCAGAACGTAGAGTGCCAGTGGTAAAGTTTGGAGGAGGAGGAATAATGGTCTGGCGCAGTTTTTTTGGGTTTGGGCTCGGCTCCTTAGTTCCAGTGAGGGTAATGTTAATGCCACAGCATGCAAAGACATCTTAGTTATATGCTTCTAACTACGTGGCAGTAGTGGAGAAGGCCCTTTCCTTGTCCTTATGTGCAAAAGGAGACATGGTTGGATAAGTTTTGTGTGGAGGAGCTCCAGTGGCCTGCACAGAGCTCTGACCTCAACCCTTCTGAACACCTCTGGGATGAATTGGAATGTAGATTGTGAGATTGTGAGTCTTCTTGTCCAACATCAGTGCCCGACCTCACAAAGGCTGTTTTGACTGAATATGCACAAATTCCCACAGACATACTCCAAAAATCTTGTGGAGAGCCTTCTCAAAAGAGTAGAGGCTGTCATTGCAGTACAGGGGGATAAGTGGGGGCAACTACATAATAATGGCCATTATTTTGGAAAGGGATGTCCAACAAGCTCATATAGGTGTGATGTATAGGTGTCCACATACGTTTGGCCAAATAGTGTATATACATTAATACTGGGAAAATTGTATTTTAAAATACATTTAAAACAATGGCAATCATGGTGAAGATACAAGAGTATCTCAAAGTTCTCAGGGACAACATGTTCATGATATTATCATTATTATAATAAATCGTTCCCAGGCAGGTGTGCCACACAACATTTCACAATGCGCTCTTAGACTAATGATGAGGAAAATGAGTCAGCAGTCTCTCAAAAAGAGTTGCAGGATGACCTGAGAACAATAAGCAATGAACTGCAGTGTAATCATCTCAATTCCTACATTCCACACAAAATTCCTAAAAAGGAGTGCAAAGATACACATCTAAAATTTGCACACAAGCACTTTGAGAATTTAGAACTCTTTTGGAGCAATGTTCTCTGGTCAGACGAAAGAAAACTAGAACTCTTTGGCAATAATTCAATTCATCATGTTTGGAGAAAGAAGGGTTACGTGTATGATCCCAAGAACACCATACCCACAGTGCTAAGGAGGAGGGTCATCATAATTTGGGGCTGCTTCTTTTCAAATGGTGCTGAAGCTTTACATGTCATTGGAAAGACCAAAATCCCCCAAAATAACTGAAGTCTGGTTTCTATAAAAAGAAGATGAAGGTGCTTGTGTGGCCTAGTCAGCCTCCTCACTAGAATCGCACTGAAAATTTAGGGAGGATTTTGAAGACCATTAGAGAGACCACTGTAAGCTTGGGGGATTGAAGATTGTATTCCAAGAGAAATGGGCCAAAAGTAAACCACAATTCTACAATACGTGAATTACTTTTTACCCTAGAAGCCCTGAAGCTGTAATTGCCAGCAATGGCTGAGGACTAATGTTACTAATTTGTGGTGTCCAAATGCGTTTTTCCCTATCATTTGTTTAAAACAAATATTTATGTTTACAAATCATTCTTTTTTGTTCATATTTGAAGTACATTAAATGACAAAAACAAAAGTCTGCATACCTGTTTCCCCCTCACTGTACATAGTAACATTTTGTTTGTGAAATCTCTTTTTGAAATGGATTATTTGCTTGTATTTATTTATATAAGAAAGCAGAGTAACATGATCGGTATAAAGCTGATACCTCATTTCTGATAGTCAGGTGTTTTCCTGTGGTCTCTTTTTTGTTTGTTTTACCAGCGTCCTGAAGCCCAAGTTTCTCCATGACCATGTCAATCTTAGCCATTGTGGTGGCTAATGCACATTCCAGTTCAACCACCTGTTTGACCAACCTAGAAGAGAGCAGTAATGGCCATCAGAGCAGGTGCAGTGTGAACTAATGTGCTACTACATTACAATAGAAAGAACACAATGAAAGCATGCAAAATTAATTTATCAGTTGTTTATATAATACACTGTTGAGTCTAATCGCTGTTGGCTCCTAATTGACGTAAGTGTCATCTTTTCTTTTTTCTTAATGTATTAACTCTTACAATCCCACAATTCTGCATAATGGTTTTGGTATTTTGGTCAATTACAATTACAAAGTATTTACATGAGACAGTCACACATGCCATATGTTGTTATTTTCCAGAGACCCTGGGCTACTCAGATATGTCATTATTTGACATGTCAATGCAAACATAATGCAAACTTTGATATCTATATGAATTTGGCCATTTTTTGAACAATAATTTATTTCACACCTGCTTATTTCTTTTAACTTTTTCCTATGCAAGCTTTGGAAATAGTTGTCAACTGAAGTACATTTTCAGAAATTCTTAGAGTGTTTATGAAGTAAAAAATGCAATAATTTTGATGTGACTTGTTCTATTATTTACTATTGAGTAAAATAGTAAATAATAGAACAAGTCACATCAAAATTATCCATGCTGAATGCTAAAACATTGAAACATCTAGCAAGGCAGACCTTGGAATATTTTGTTCAGGGCAAGATAAAAACTTTTTTAAAAAGTGTGTGTACATAATTTTATTATTCAAATTGACACAGACATTTAACCATCAGTTGTAATAATTACTGTCAACTGTTTATAATACTTGAAATCAATTGAACTTGAAAGATAAAACTGAATATAATTAATTATATGTTCATGTGCTATTGTTTGAATAAATCTAATGCGCTCTCCTGATTAGCCCCTCCCCTATCGGTATCTATGACAACAGAGCCAGGTGTTCATACCAAGTGCTCTGCATTTTGAGCTCCAGTCAGTCTAAATACAGTGTAAACAGAGCACCTCATGGTTTTTCTGAATGCTCTGAGGACTGTAGAGCTCTGATTACTCACTACAGACACTACAGAGCATGCTGGATCAAAACACATACAATATATAGCATTATGAGGAGTCCAAACAGAGACATCATACCGGGATATAAAGCGGATTTTGAGTGGTTTTTGAGCCGAATTACTTGCCGATACTTCTCTGTAGCTCAGTGAAACCACTCTAGAGAACGTGAGTCTTGCAGACTGTTATATGTGTATTACGTCTGTAGGTTTGACTGTTTTTGAGTTGTGAAGCCTGAAAACAGATATTTAAAATGATCACAAGTAGGTGGTTTTTCAAGCTGGATTTCTCGCTGATGCTTTGTCACACCTCAATGTTCTGGCTAGATTGTG